CCATAAATCCATAAATCCATAAATCCATAAATCCATAAATCCATAAATCCATAAATCCATAAATCCATAAATCCATAAAATATAAACATACAAACGAATAAGACAAAGACAAGAAAAGATGAAAAGACAGCATGAACAATACCGAAGTCTCCTTTCCTCCCCTCCCCTTTCCTCCTCTTCCTCTTCCTCTTCCTCTTCCTCTTCCTTTTCTCTGGCAAGAAAAGGAAAGGGAAGGATGAGAAAGGACGGAATAGATATATGAAAGAGATAGATAAGTGAGTGAATGGAAAAATGAGAAAAATGAGATGAGCTAGAAGAGAAAGAAAAAGAAGAAGAAAAAGAAAAGGAAAAGAAAAAAAGGGGGCGAGGGGGAAGAGGGTTTGCTATATTGATGATGGTGAAAGGGATGGTGAGTAAGAAATAGTTGAACAGTTGAATAGATGAATGAATGAATGAGTGATGGTTGGCAAGTAGTGAGTACCTTAAAGGAAAGTACCCATCCTTGGTTATAGCAACAGAGTGGTGATATGGTGGAAGGATACTTTCCTTTACAGAAATTTCGAGTGATATTCCTTATACCAAGATACGCCGTCAAGACGTGGTATCCTCTCCTCGCAGCGCATCTTCCCCCTCGTCGAGACACAAGCCGACATCCTCACCACCGACGCCACGCTCCCTCCACCGCTCCAGCAACGCCCTCTCCTTCCCCCAATAAGCTCTCGCCTCCTCTGTCTTCCCTTCCTTGACTAACTCCCTCACCCTGCCCGGCGCTCCCAGAACCCTCTCAACCACCCTCCTCGTCCTCGCTCTCCTCGCCCGCTCCTCTCGCTCCCTCCTCTCCACTTCCTCCCCTTCCCTCCTGAGACCCTCAACCGCTTTCCGTACCCTCTCCACCAACTCCTCTACACCTTCCACCCCATCACCCTGGTCTCCACCCCCTTTCCCTTTCCCTTTCTCATTCAGTCTACCAACATTCCCAGTCTCCTTCCCATCCGATTTCCCCTTCCCCGACGCAGCAGACGCAACACCCTCCCTCATCCTTCCAATCATCTCCGTCGCCACAATAAGCTTGCTGTAGTTGTCATAGACCAGCGCCTTCCTCTCCCCCTCCAGACTCCGCACCTCGCCCAGCACCCCGCGGTAGATGGCCAGCACTTCCGCCAGGCTCTTCTCCTCCAGCACTCTGCGCACGTACCCGGCGGCGTCGAAGCCCTCGCGGTCCAGCTCCCCCCACTCGCTGTCGGGGATGTCGTTGTGGAAGGAGTGGATCGAGGAGCTGGTCGGGGAGGAGGGCGCCTGCGACGCGGTGGAGGGGGCTGCCGCCGCCCTTTGGGACTGGGACTGGGATTGCGATTGGAGGTTGTAGTACTCGCGGAGGGCGGCGCGGTTGCGTTTCGGGGGGTTCGCGGGCAATTGGGAGACGGGGTTAGAGGAAGAGGGTGGGTTGCTGTCGTTTGCGTTTGGGCGCGGGGTTTCGAGAGATGGGCGCGAGGAGGAGGTCGGTGTCGAGAGGAGGGGGATGCGGCGGCCGCTGAGCGAGGGTTCACGCGGGGAGGCTATCGTTGACATTGTTGCGTGCTGTCTTCTAGGATTCTATGTTTTAGTCTCAATATGAGAGGAGCGAAGAGAGTGAATGCTAGGGATGACGTAGTAGTGGCATGGACATTGGATTGTCGTTGCGTTAGACGGGTAGAGGACGGGTTGAAATGTTGACAAGAATCAAAGGTCGAGCTTCGAGCTTCGCGAGGCTGAACAAGCGAGGCTGAACCTCGCGACATTGCCAAAAACAAATAGGTACCAACATCTTGCGAACACCATACCCGCTCATCACCCAAGAACCCCACAATCGCAATGACTCCCCCAACAGCTGCCCAGATAACCGCCTCCCTAACCGCACAGAGCCTCCCAGCACCAACACCCCTCTTCCTCGCCCCGATACTCACGTCCTCCTCTTCCTCCTCCTCGTCCTCCTCACTCACCTCCAGCAGCCGGCCTCTCGCAGCCCTAACAGCAACAGCCAAGCACCGCCTCCTCCACACCTCCATCTCCACCAACCCCTCCCCCCTGCAGCCCACAAGCGCCAGCCTCCCAGCCACCATCAGCAATGCGGCCATCGCAGCGACGGCACTCGCGGTAGATACCTTCGTGCAGATACTCGACATCCAGGACCTGGGCCGCAGCCGGTGGGAGCAGATCGAGGCGCTAGAAGCAGAGCGGAAGGGCGAGACGACGAAGGGGAGGGAGGTGATTCGCGTCGTGCCCGCGGAGCCGAACGGCGGCGAGGCTTCGCAAGCATCAGCTCAAGCCCAGCTCCCGAACGGAAACGCAAACGTGAACGCGAATGCAAAAGGCCCTTTCAAGCTCCTGCTGCAAGACTGGAAGGGGACCACGGTGTGGGCTTTCGAGCTGAAGAAGGTTGAGCGCATCGCGATGCCGCCGGCTCTGGGCATGGGCATCGGGTGTAAGATTCTGCTGCGGAGGGGGACGCGTGTTGCGCGCGGCACGGTACTGTTGGAGCCGGCCTGCGTGATGGTGTTTGGGGGACGGGTTGAGGGGTTAGATAGCGCGTGGAAGGCGGAAAGGGAGCATAGGTTGAGGAGAGAGGTTGAGGCGCAGAGAGGGGAGCGGGATGGTTGAGAGTGGGAGATAGAAAAGAGAGAGAAAAGAGAGAGAGAGAAAAAAGAAGAAAACGAGAGAGAAAATTATGAAAAGATGCCGATTCTAACCCCTCAATCATAAGCACTAGCTGAATAACAGGCGAGGAAGGCATAGGTAGATAGTAATAGACAAGCGTCTTGCATCTGTTTAGAGCAAGACATACACACATTTGTACGTCTACACACATACATAGACACATACACATAAAGATAGACATATACCTAGATATATCCGCAAAAGCACATTTCTTGAAGAAATCTCTTCATCACACACACAGAGAGACAAAGAAGGAGTAGGTAGGTGATGTAAACGACGAAATCATAACGTGCGATCGAATAAGATGATAAACAAGTGAGTAAACGAATAAACAAACAGTGAGAATCAACCTGCTTTTATTGATTTAGCATCAGCGAAAGAAAATAGAAGCAAGTATTCGTGACTTACTTTTCTTCGTTTATGCGTCTCGTCAAATTGATTTATGCATTTCGTGATTCTGCCTTATTAATATCACTAGTGAAACAGACACACGTAAAACGAGCGGATCAGTAAAGTGTTTTTCTGCTGCGCTCACATATCACAGATCACTGTCCATCTGTCTGTCTATCTGTCTGCTGCCGCTTTCTGAAAATTCACGTACGTACTCCTGCAGACCGATTGCTCCAATCGACCAAATGTGTTTGCAGAATCCAGCCACCATCCACACCAATGCAATTAGAAAGAAACGAGAGAAAATAATGCCCAACCACCACGCCGTAATTAGACGACAATTTTCCTGACAACATCGCCGCGCAAAAAAGATGTATGATTTCCTGGTGATGCTCTTCCTCGATTCAATGCCGAGCCGAACCATTGGTACGTGCCACTTCAACTGAGGGTGGGGTGGGATACCGCAGCCAGGGAGCTGAAAAATCATTCCTTGAGGTTCGAGCAGCGGTCGCCAATCCATATGTCCAATGCAGCAATATCATGACAAGGCGAGACGTGTCGACCAGCCAATTTATCTCATGATCTCGTTGAAAATCAACTCTTTCAGCTGCTCCTTGGTCAAGTTGTCCTTGTTCTTGTCAAAATCAAAGAACTCCTCTGGAATCGGGCTTGCAGTAGGCTCATCCTCAGGGTCGTGGTATGGCTCGAGGTAAGGGTGTTGCAGAGCCTCGTCGACGGTGATACGCTTAACTGGATTGAAGGCGAGAAGCTTCTCAAGAAGGTCAAGAGCCAAGTCGGAGGTCTTGGGGAACATCTGCTTGAAGGGGACCTTCTTTTTGAACGGGAGGGAGCGGATGTACTCGCGGGCGCGGCGGGACTTGATGCCGTAGTAGTCCTCCATTGTCGGGGTCCCGAGGACATCGAGGATGAGGGTGAGTTGGTGATGGTCTGATACATGATTAGCTACGTTGATCCGCATCGCAATACTGCGATACTTACAATCTTTTCCAGGGAATAACGGCTTGCCGCTCAACATCTCAGCAAGAATGCATCCAACGGACCAGACATCAATCGCCTTGGTGTATTCCTTGAAGGTCAACATGATTTCCGGAGCACGGTACCATCGTGTAGCAACGTATTCGGTCATGAAACCAGAGTTGTCCTCTTGGGAGGCAGCAGAACGAGCCAGGCCGAAGTCGCAGACCTTGAGATCGCAGTTGGCGTTGAGGAGCAGGTTAGAGGGCTTTAGATCTCTGTGAAGGACGTTGGCGGAGTGCATGGCCTTAAGAGCTCGCAGGGTCTGGTAGATGAAGTATTGGCAGTGGTCATCGGAGAGGTCCTGCGTGCGGATAACACGGTGCATATCGGTCTCCATCAGCTCCTAGAAACAGTGAAAGTCAGATATTTGTGTGTGTGGACTGCCGGACTCGAAATAGGAAGTTGGCATACCTGGATGAGGTAGACCTCGGTAAAGGTGTCATAGCTTCGAGGCTTTTGGATGTCGAGGATGGAGATTATATTTTCGTGGTTGAAGTACCGCAACAGCTTCATCTCGCGCAGTGTGCGCAGGCAGAACATGGAGTGGTCGAAGGGGGTGATCTTCTTGATAGCAACCTTCTGGCCAGAAGGCTTGTGGAGCGCCGAGCTGTGAATTGTCCGTCAGCAAGGTTTCAGAAGCAGAAGACTCTAGTAGAGAATGAATTTCTTCCATGAAAAAGGGGACGTTCGAATATCCCTCTGCCACATGGCCCCCATTCTCCCATTCCCGCTTCCCACATGGCAGCCACGAGGGTGGGCAGCATCGCGTCGCGGGTGATAAAGATGAATTGAAGGTGAAAGGACCAAATGGCGGGGTAATTGAGCAACATACCAAACAACACCATAAGCACCCTCACCGACGACATCCTGGATATCATACTGCTCGCTCACATTGAAGCTGATCTTCCGCGATCCCGAGGCGGGATTGGGCGCTCTCGAAGTCATCTTGTCGAGGACTGCCTATCTAAGCTCACAAGAAGGAGTGGCTCTTCGACCCGTTGGCACGGGAAGTTGCAGAGGGAGAGGTGAGTGGATCTCGAAGGAATCGGTATCGCTGAGGCAAACAAGTAAACAAGTAAACAACTTGCGAGTGTATAATTGATTGACTACTCAACGGGAGCCGAGTAGGAAGAAGAGGATGACGGTCCTTTGTTGAGGATGTGGTGTCTTGGATTGGCGTGTTGGCGGTCAAAGGAGATTGAAAAATCGAATTGTCTCGGGAGTATTGACTTGGTGAGTCAGAATGGTATGGTGTCGAGCTTCGATTCGATTCAATATACTCTCAGGTCAACGACAATAGCTGGGCTGGCTGGCCTCGATAACGATAGGCGAAATGATACTGAGACGATCCGATATGACTCGACCAGTCTGCTGCCAGTGAATTATTCGGCTGGACGCTGCCAATCTCTCGCGAGGCAATTAATGGAGGGGGAGGGGGAGGGGGAGGGGGAGGGGGAGGGGAGGGTAGGATAGAATCGTGGTCGTGATCGCGGTCGTGATCGTGATTATAGTCGTGATGCTGCGGTCGTCGTTGCTGTGGATTCCGTTATGGACTCTGGCGACGATGTCGCCTGGGTTTCGGGTCGGGGGTTGAGACTCTGCGCTCGGTCCTGCGTTACTTTAGAAAAGCCACCAAATGTCGCAGCTTCCAGATCTCGAATCAGGAGGGACGTTCGCCCGGGTTTTGCTGAGCCGAGGCGAGAAGAGGCGTTTGCTTCTAGAACATCAATAGGAAATCAAGTCAGCAAGTCAACAGGCGCTCTTCTTCTCTCTTCCCTCTACCATCTTCCCTCTTCCCTCTTCCCTCTTCCCTCTTCCCTCTTCCTTCTTCCTCTCTTCTGTCTTGTATCTTTTGTCTGTCTCCTTAACTCTCTCTCTATGCCCCTTTTCCTCGCTTTGTCTTGGCCTTGGCCTTCGAGCTTGTGCCATCACACGAACTGCTGTCATGGTTATGCTTCCCCCCTCCCACTTCAGTCCGACCGACGCGCGCGGTGCCGACTTTCTATGACCCTCGACTGCGTTGCTTTTTCATGCTACGTCTGCTTGCGATGCCACCCGCCATCTCGAGAGGAAAGGTCCGTACCTGTTGCGTTATGCTCCCAATGCGCCCCGAGTCTGCGCGCGCTAGCCCCTGTTCCAGCTCCAAGCTGCGGTTGAGCTGAGCTAGGTGCCCCGCTAGAGAAGCAAGGAAGACGCCCGTTTGCGGTGAGTGTGAGAAGAAGAGGGATCGATCCCGGCTGCAGATCGGATGCGATGCTGCTGGACCGGACAGGCGTCGTGTAGTGAGTGGCAGATGTCTGGAGGTCGGGAAGAGAGAGAGGTATCCTGTCTGTCCTTGGGAGGTTGAAAATGTGGGATGGGACAGGATGGGACAGGATGGGACAAGATGGATGGGATGATGGGATACGCGCACTGTCCGTCGGTCTGTCTGTGTTGCTATGGCTTCAAAGATGGAGCAGAGGAGGTGCTTGGGCTCTAACTGTACCAGAGGGCTAGAGGGTAGAGGAGGAGAGGAGGAGAGGAGGGGGAGGGGAGGGAGCGCAGGGATCTGAGTCAATGAGGGGTCGTTTCTCGAGACTACTGCAGCTTTGCAAGGACGCCCGCGGACTGGAGCACCGGAGCCGGGCTGTACTTTGTATACTGCTCTAAGCGCCGAGGACACGGCCTCACAAGGCGCCTGTTTGGCGGGTGCTGCAGCCATGGAAGAGCCATGGAAGAGCCATGTTTCCTTGCGACACATCCCTCTTGTCTGGCCTGATGTCAAAGGCCCAAACACCTCCCAAACTCCCTTCTCTGCCTTCTCTGCCTTCTCTGCCACTCGACTCAACTCGACGTCCCAAGGTTCCAATTCCTTCAATTCGTCACCATCCTACCGGTAACAAGTAAGGTATCAATTGAAACTGAGCAACCCGGAAGACACAGGGCGATCAGCCAAACCCACATGTTAAAGCTTCACCATTGATAGTCGGGTTTGACTGATTATTTGACTGATCGACATAGTAGTGCGAGGGGAGCGCTGCGGACCCTCATTTCCATTTCTATCGGACTTCCGGCTGGTTACCGAGGACATACATCACCCATTGGTCAACTAGCAGCTTGACTCAAAAGATCATATTTGTTTTCTACGCATTCATTGGTGCTACAAAGTTCAGCCCATCCCCCAACACCTAATAAGCTCGTCCGCGTCGCTCGCTTATGCACACATTCACTCACTCGCTCATCCGTGATCATGAAACCACCTGCTAAGCGCGTCAGCACGAGGCCATGACTTCAAACGCACACCTCCCATCTCTCATCACCCCTTCACGCCTCCCAGGGCTTGAATCTAGCTCACCTTCTCCCTCAGCGTCCCCATCCATTGCTGTAAACTCATACCCTGGTCGGCCCGGTCCTCCACCAACAGCGTCTGCGCCCATAGTTTCAAGCTTGGGTCGCCGTCTTCTCGGATCACGTACATGTGTGGCACGATGATGCTGCCGACGCCACGAGAACGGTAGTCCCGGCTCTTCATCACAACTGCCCGGATCCGCTCGTTAAAGTCGTTGTCCAGTTCGGGGAGTGTGCTCTTGCCGACCTTGAGCATGGTGCGCTCGTTGACGTCAAACGCATCGGAAAGCAATTGAGGAACTGCATCCCGGCCGACCCAGAGGAATTGTGTCTGTCCATCATCGATTAGGTAGAGGCCAAACGGTGCAAGGCGTTCCGAGGAAAGGTTGATAGGCGGTGGGAGGATGATCTGAGAAGTTGCGGGGTCGGGAACACCGGCATCATCGGGCATGTCGTGTAATGAGTATAATCGGGGGTAGATGTATTGAATCAAAAGTGGGAGCGGAAGAGTCGACAACTGGCATAGAGCAGCTGATCGGAGATCAGATGGAATTTGAGCCGATTTTCGTAGACCAACGTTTTTGATGAGTCCCAAGAACAAGACTGGGAGACCACGCAAGTTCGCAGGGAACTGAAGGCCACCACCACCAGAGTTGCCTCCAGCAAGCTCCTTTTTGAAGGTTTGAAGCAGCTCAATAAGCTTCGATTGAAGGGCCTCACGTGCTGGCTCAAGACCGCTGCTCAGAGCTCGCTCGACGGCCTTGTGGCTGAAAAAGGTGGTGATCGCGCACTGATCAGCTGAGGCGTAGACATCGGCAAGGTTTGTCGTCGTAGGCAATGCAAGGGTCATAACTCGGATTCGTCGCTCCCCATTGCTTGTAGTGTGGAGCACGGCAGTTTGCATGCATACAAAGTTCTTTGTCAGACTCTCGTCAATCGCAACTTCAACCACATAGCTTTGATCGCGAGGGAATGCAGGGAAAGCGCAAAGATCCGAGCTTCGGTTGAAGAAGTTGCCATAAAAGGTGCTCATCCGGAGACCGGTAGTAGCACGAACTCGTAAAACAGCCTCCAGTCCAATTTCTGAGGAAAGGTAATCACTGAACTCGGTGGCAAACTTGATCGCATCCTCACTTCTCCCAGCGTTCCAACCAGGGTAGAAGTAAGTCTGTCCTCCAGTATATCTTGGAAGATTGCTGAGTGATGCCACATCTTGGTATTGGGAGGAGAAAAGGAACATGTCAATGGAGACTTGACTCTTTGAGCACTCGACAGCAAAGCTCTTGTAGAAACTGTTAGCAGTCTGTAGCAGGCCGCTCTCTTTCGAAGTACCAAGCAGTTTCTTGTCCTCACGCATCTCAAGTTTACCGAAGCCAACGTTGGGAAGCGAAGCCGAGATAACCACAACTTTGCCGCCAAGAGGAGAGATGAGCTTATGGCCAGCCCGCAGAGCAGATCCCATGCATGAACCATTGTTTTGATTTGTCTGGAACATTGAGGGCAGGGTGGTGAGGAATTTTTCAACACTCAATCGACTTTCCGACAGAGGAACCAACAGTTCTTGAGGGATTGGCAGGAATGGCTCCTCCAGATCGCTGACAACCAGCATCTGAGTCTCGCCGTTCTCCTCCGAATCCTTAGGAACAGCGAAGTAGTGCAGGCTTGAATCAACTGCCATGAACCCCACCCGTGTCCGCCTATCCGCATTTGGGAGTCTGTTGAGAGAGTCCAAAATGGTTCTGGCGCTAGTTGCAAGAAGACCACAGGAGACGGAGGCGTAGCTGACATCAAATATGAAGAGGTAGACCAACGGTTGCGGAGGGCGAACCATATACTCCTGCGGAGCAACAAATTCTACCACGGCGTGGTTCAACTCCGGTCTTTGCCAGCGGTCTACGCTCTTCTGGGCCGCAGCATCCCAGTCGAAGGCTTGGGGAACATCGTTCGTAAGGTTGCACATATTACATCTCCATCTATGTCCGTGGTCGAGGAATGTGACATAGGGATTGATATACGACCGACATCTTCGGCAGCGAGAAATCACTTGATCTTGAACAATGGGCACTGGGTCATCCACATCGTGAAGAGAAGTGTATGGCTGAATGACGAGAGCGAATGGAAGCTTCGATTTTTTGAGAAGCGAGTTTGTGGTGGGAACAGCATTGAGAGTCGATCGCACGTATTTCGGAGGGCAGTTCGCATGAGGGGATGGGGTAACACTCGACTAGGGGTAAAGTTAGCATAGGCCTCCGTGGCTGCGAAAAAAACGAACATTGGCGGGCAGAATGATAGATGGAGGCGGCAGCTCCAATTCTGCAACATTGAAAGGCTGGTTCGACAGGTCCGTAGGGTACAATTGGTTCAGAACCGCAGGTCTAGCAGCTCCGGCAGGCGGTTGAGGTTGTCCTGGCTGCGATCCTGGTTGAGGGGGTTGTCCGCTAAATCCCATCTGCCCCATTCCTTGAGTAATACCAGCAATTCCAGGTGTTCCTGGAGCCCCGGGTCCCGGGTATCCAGGCGCAGCACCCTGATATCCCACACCGCCGCCGTACTGCGCCGGGGCAGCACCATATCCAGGAACTGCTGCAGCGGGATCAGGTCCTCCAACAGGCGAGCCGTATGGCTGAGCACCGTATGCTGGAACCTCTTGCTGAGCTGGATATCCACCGTATGCTGGCCCTGCAGGAGGTGGAAATGCAGCTCCGCCCTGGTTTTGCCCTCCTAGTGCTGAGTTCCCACCAGCGCCGAAGTCGTATGCTTGCGCCGCGTAGCCTCTCTTCTTTTTCTTTCCTCCTTCGTGTTCAAGTTGTCCACCGGGAGGTGGAGGAGATGTGGCAGACTCGCCGATTCCAGGCTGCACTGGACTCTGGGCATATTGATCTTGGGCAGGATAGCCCTGAGGGTACCCGTCCTGAGGGGCCGCCATGTTTTGCGTCGAAAGCTGGAATCTGTTTAGATTTCGAGTCCTGAGCTTTAGAGATTGGCGCAGCAATGGCGACGTATGCTCTCCAAAACTGTGCGGGGTAGAGTATTCGGAGATTGAAATGTAATGTATATGGTGTCACTCGCCCAAGCTTCAAATCGAACAGTAGTCGCTGTCGGAGAACACGTTGCGGAATGACTGATAGACAGTTGTATCTTCGGTCTCAGCTATTAGCAGATAGTACCAGATCGATCGCTGTACCACGGATTCATGACATGGGGTGGTGAGAAAATCGTGTTAAGAGAGAAGGAAGGTGAAAGGATGAGGTAAGGTGAGGTGAGGTGAGGTGGTGGGTGCGACTGGATTTCTGCGATCGGTCTCCGACCCACTGAAATCTGTCTTTAGATACCTACCTAGGTACCTGAGGCGAGACGACGGCGACTGCTCAGAAGCCTTTTATTTACTGCAAGACCTTGAGATCCACGGCAGAAATCTATCCTGTGTTTATATGGTCTTCTACGCGGAACCCTGTCCTTCCAGAGAAAAATACTCAGAATTCAATTGATTCTACCCATTCAATCGCCATCACAATCATGGCGTGGGGATCTTCCAATCCGAAAACCCCTCCTCCTCCAGAGTCTGCTCTAAGGTACTAAATTTTCCAAGCTCGCCACGTCAAAAAATTTAGTAAGGTCTGTACTGACAAGGGAATCCCAAGCAAACTACTCCCACTCCTCATCCTAATCGTGGTCGTTGGTGGCTTTGCTTTCGTTGGCTACTATGTCTACGTCACCGTCTGTGGTATCTCTACAGCTGCCGGCGACAAGATGGAGAAGAAGAACGTCGTGTTTACCAAGGACGGCATGAAAGTCGGCGTCAAAGAGTTGCAAAACGAGAAATACGTGGACAAGACGCAGAGCGCTATGGTCAAGATGTGGAACGCCGCGTCGTTTCCTGCGTACAAGAGCAGGATCTGGAACCAGAATGCCGAGATCAACAAGCCTACGTCAAGGAATCCGTACGTGCTTTCTTTCTCTCTTTGCTCTCTCACCGAAAATATGTGTGCTGATATTGATTTGGCTTAGATTCTCCCGTAATGGATCTTCATCTTCTGCGAGCTAAGCACCCTTCAACCTTGAACTTTCAATGCCCTGTTCCACATAAACCTGTTGTCTGAGTTGTCTAGAGGCGTAGTGGTTGAATCACTCTATTGTAAGAATTTGCATAAAACTAGGCAGGTGGCAGATATATTTGATTCGAGCTCTGGTGGTTATCTACTGCCTATGATTGCTTTAATACCTGGAGAAGCGATCGTTAAATCTTTAGTCCCCTTGAGCTCAGGGGGATGGAGCTCATGATTGCATGGTCCGGACAATCAAAAAGTCTTGCTTTTTGCAGGCTTTTCTACCAATTCGATGAATTCAGATAGTTGACGTTTTGCTCGCTCAACTCACTTCAGGCTGGATCGATACTCTTTTACCTTCCTTTAGAGAATAACCGCCGTGAGCTTTGCTTATGCCTCTGAAATCCATAGTAGGATCTGTCCATTGTGTCACACAGCACCCGATTCCCAGGTTATTATCCTCCCATTTGCTCACCGGGATTCGTGATGATCTCAAACGGGTCTCTATCACACTCACTAACCGCAACCTCGAATTGTCCCTCCCCCTTCAACTCTGCCTCCAGCAAACCCTTCATAACCTTCAGATACCCCCTCTCGCTATTACTGTGACTCGCCGTAATCACACACCGTCCGTTCTCCACCGCCGCCAGCGCCTCATGGTGACTTAACTCCCCTGTAAACAATAGATCCACGTCCAGGCCATTCAGCATCGATCCTCCCGATCCAGCACAGATACCAACTGTTCGGATTCCGATCTCGGCTCGCGAGGCACCCGTGATGTGCTGGGGGATGGCGACGGAGAGACCACGCAGGTTGCCGAGACCGACGCGAACGTGCTCTATTATTGGGATCAGGTTCTGGGTCTCGGAAAAGGTTATGATGCGCCCGTAGCCGGCAGAGGAGAAGTGCGGGGGGAGGCTGGAAAGGTCTTTGACGGGGTTGATGATTTGGCGATTATGGGATAGGGGATTTCTGTCAGCGACGCATCTGTTTCGAGCGCTAGTTAGATAACTTATTTACGACAACGTCGCTATGTAGGATGAATGGGTGTTGGATGTGTCTACCTGTCTGTGTTGGTGACGATGTCTGCCAACCAGTCGTTAAGTCCACCTGGTGCGGCATCAACAGCCGTATGTGGGCTATAGACGCTGATGCCCTCCTGGGCTAGACGTAGCAGTGAGGTCTGCTGCGTGTTATTCAGCGTGATGGACTTCAGACCTCGAAAGATGATAGGATCTGCAACCAACATTATTAGTACTGACACGAAACCTCTGGATATGGGAAACTTTTACGATAACTGATAACAATTGAGTCTTGCCGAGCAATCGCCTCATCCGCAACAGCCTTGGTCAGATCAATCGTTAACAGTGCCGAATTCTTCAGCCGAGAATCTGGGCGGTGCGGAGCTTCGAGCAGTACTTCATCGTATTAGCTTTACTTATCGTCAATTGCCAGAGAGATGAATGCATACGGCCAGTATTGTCGAAACTGCTATCGGCAAGCTTCTCGGGGTACCTGGCAACGATCAGTAAAATGATGCAAAATGCAGCTCACGTGGAGGACCTCACAGTTTTCTCATAGCGCCTACTACGGCCTTTGTGAAGGGGGGCGAGGCCGTTGTGGAGGAAGAAATATTTGCCATTGTTTTGCTGAATATTCTGGATGCGTTCATTACTTGCGCAGATGGACTTGGTAAGGTGTTGAGTTTGGAAGGAACCTAGTGCAGAAGAGTAGAGGTTCTCGTTTGCCAATACTTCGCTACTTCGCTTAGCTGGCTTTTATGGGACTAGTGTGAGCAACGACATTGAGCAGTCTTTTGGAAGATCACGGCTGAGGACTGAGAAAATGCTCAGTGGAATCTTCATGGGAGACAGACAGAAGTTCATGACCTGTATACGTAGTATGTTGGACTTTGAGATGGGCCATTGAGAATCCTTGCTGCTTAGGAAAAGTCAAGGGGGCCGAGTGGGTGGTACCTTTATTGCTTAGCGAAAATAGTTCCAAAGAGCAATGATACATATTGCATGGAAAGCTTGATTTATCAGTGCGCGCTTAGGATTTCAAAAAATGTAAGTAAAAGATTCATGCTATCATAGGCTATTTAGAGGCTCCATCTGTTAAGTGAGTAACCCCGCAAAAATGCCAAAACCTCAGTCGATCTTAGGCCTGATCAACCATCCTGTCGGCTGATTTGGGTGGCGTCTGGTAAATCGGGTAGCATGAAATCCTTGAAATGCAAACGTGGAATTGAAACCTTGAAGTTGGTTGCTTTGTGAAATCGATATTGCGTTTTATTTCTGACTTCGTTGGTAACTCTCTCAAGTCCGGTTTCGAAGGTTTATTCAATTCGTAATGCCGAGGATTGTTCGTCCCACTTTACTTTAATACGGAATGGGTATCCTTAGCATAATCCAGTTGATCGTCTGATTTGCTCCCCCTTATTTGATAAGTAAAACAAGATTAATTGCGATCGCAATTCAAGACTTACTACGTATTTTTCCTCGCTTCTTATGAGCCAGGATTTTAGAACAAGGTCTAACGCTACTAAGAGTTGATTTTCAGTGGAGACTCGATACTGAATCTGTGGGCCACGTGAAATAGAAACTGCTTTTTATTTTACTTCAAGTTACGAGAGAATTTTCGAGTTTCGAGGTTTCAGTTCAAGTTTCAATTTCTAAATCCTTCTTACCAGAAGCTAATTCGGTGAAACCGGACTTGAGCGAGTTACCAAACGCGCCCTCATAAATGCTATTACTGTTCCTGGGACATCTCGATCTGTATAAGCCATCTCAAATATAGCTATCTCCTCTCCCCCCAAGCCTCCTCGGTCAATTCCTTCTTGGTACTATTGCTAGAATTCACACACGCTGGCATCGTCGGCCCTGGGTGGCCAGCTATGGATCGCAGGAAATCAACAGGATCAAGATTCATCTTCATTTTCGATACAATTGTCACGTCAAGGTCCAACAGTTAATCGTTGCGAGTACAAGACTGCGTTCAGTGACGTGGTCGTCAGAGTAGACTTGTTGATCGGAATCAAAGGCGGTGTAATATATTGTGCTCAGATTTTGACGTTGATACTTTGTTAGTAGTCTTAGGATTAATTGGTGGCAGTAAAAGCCAAATTTATTTATAGAATGTATTCACGGTTGTTCTGAATGCTGTATATCGATCGGGCTTGGAGAAATCGGGATTTGTTATAGCGTCGACATCACGCAAGACGATGTAACAAATTGGCACGATCATCAACGACAGATATTACAAGCCAATAGCGTTTGTGATTATTATCATGAATGTTTTGATGGTCTGTATCTTTCAGATTGCCCTCTTTTGGTTGCAGCGATGGCGACCTCGTCGACAATTAATGCTCTCCTCGAGTTCAATCGCAGCTAAAGAATTCCCTTTTTCAACTTCAACTTCTTCGGCAGTTTCCCTACACGAGCCTCACGACTGGCAGGATTAACGATATAATCCATCACAGCCCTTGACCAAATGATATTTTCAAGACAACTTATTCGAGCTTTCTCAAGGACTTCCTTGTGGATTGGGTTCACCACAACACTGTTCAGCTTTTGCGATTGATGGAGCGCTCGATATCTAACATTGCCATCTTCTCCTTCATGGCAATATATGTCGAAAGAAGCAAGGGGGATGTCTGGGCAATCTTGTTCTGTGAAAGAACAACAACTCTTGGCTTCGATCCCGAGTATCCGGCCGTGAGGTCGCTTACAAGGTCCCTCACTGACTCTCATGGTCTCTCGCATCTATCGAGCACGTCCACGACCGGTGCATATCTCTAAATATTCTTGACATGTTTAGAAATTGTAGGTGTATCCTGAGAGTTGAGAGTACATGTGACTTTACCAGTTCTGAGGTAATGTTGATTCCAATTTCTGAGTCACTTGAGGGACTTGGAAATCTGAAATGACTGTAAAGTAGACTCGTCAAGTTGGATTCACATCCATTCAAGAACTTGCCATTGGAGGAATTTCGGAGCTGAGTTATCTTACCGAGTTATCCTAAATATACGTAGTAGAGTCGGCGCCATAGCCAAGATTGTAGTAAGGCGGACAGCATCAAAGATAAAGACCATTGACCTTCCGGCTTGTATAGCACTAAAGGCAGTGTTATCTCAACTTGCGGATACTGTATTCAGGCTACTTTAAGTGTAGAATTCGAACTTGTTTCATGGCCCGGCCCCTGACCTGTCAAAGTACAGAGTATATCCTCAATTTCGTCGATTGCTTTCGCTGTAGTGAAATTCCTACAATATTATACTGTAATTACCGCCGCCTCTATATTGTTCGAGATATTCGAATGCATACTTTCAAAAGCCGTATTTTCAAGCTCGTAAAATTATTGCAAAACGATCAATAAACCCTCGATTCAGACCCTATGTTATTTATACTCGCAAAGACAAGGCCTTATTCTCCGCACATTACGGATTTTACGAAATCCTTACTTCAATTGGCCTCCGAGTGTACGGTATTACTAGTAACTGTACTTAATGCATAAACTTTTATTTCGCACCAAAACTACACACTACGTAGTACGTAGTACTACGTACGTACTAGTACTTACTCTCCCCCACTCCCCATGAATACACGCCGAAAGCATAATTTTGCAAGGGATCTTACCAGGTCTTAAACCGATCAACTTACTGTGGTTCATTCAGCCTTGGAAAGTATCTTTGAGCCAGTACTTAGTCTGTGCAATGGAGTTGACAGGGCTGTAAGCCATTCAGAAACCATCGCTCTACGGTTTATGGAGCTAAACTGGGTCCGACATTTATTCATGGGGGGGATAGTACCACGGTACAGGCCTAAGTATTACCCCTCGAGGGTGCCTTAAAAGTCTAGTTTCCACTTTAAACCCCCTGTTTTCCCTACCCTCGAGGGGTAATACTTACGCCTGCGACGTAGTACGTAGTAGTACATCTGATAGCTTAAAATTTCTACAACCACAACCTTTTAAAGGTACTACGTAAATAAAAGTTATTGACCATTCAATGATAAGAAATAGCAAATGATTACAAAACGATATTATTTTGTAAAATGATTTCGTAGAGTTAATTGAAGCAGCATTATAGAAAGTTGGCTCTCGCTTGACTTTAGAAGTCTTGAGAAGAAGAGCGACTTCGGCTTTATCTTTTGTAGTATTTAGGTCTATTAAAAAAGTAGATTTAGGCTAGACGGTTTTAACGTAGTACTACGTAAATACTCCATCCAAGTGAGAGTTAACAAGCACCGGCTAATGTTGACATTTTTTCCAAGTGTTGACCCTTTGTTTGGGTGCGAAAAGTGGTTTTGTACATTAGCAGTTACCTAGGTGGTACTGTACGCCAAGGTGGTCTACGCTATATTTGGTTAAAATACTAACTCAGTACGTTAACTCAGCTTGCGAAATTCATTTGCGCGATTTAACTGAGTTAACGAATTGTGCAGATGACATACTACGTAGTACGTAGTTGTTAACGAAGGTTACCTGAGCTCCGAAAACCCTTTATTGTGAGTTTGGATGTGCTCTGGAGGTCTGTGGGACAGCTTTTAGAGTTTGTCTCATGTTAACTCAATTCCACTAGCGTTGGCCTATTCCCCGGTGGATCCACCCATAGACCGAGTCGCGCTGTTGAAGCGAATCTAATCGGGAGGGCAGCTCCAGAAGATCATGTTGATCAAGACACTGTCAAAAGCGCCTTCAAGTCCCGATCTCCGAGGGACCACCTTCCAATATCCGTCAGGATTCTTTGACATCATTGACATTGACATGATATCAGGCTGAGAATCGTCAGAATTATGTTAAATACTTCTCAGCCTGATATCATGTTTGATCGCTCCGAAGCTGGATTGAGGTCAATGCAATGGTAGCGCGTCTCGCGTCACCCAAAGTGTACTAGCAAATCGTCGGTTATGCCCCTTTTGTGGGTGGGTGTACGGTACTAGCCCGCAGCTTCACAGTCAGCGCACTGACTGTTAGTTGTAGTTGTACGTAGTACGTAGTAGTAGATCATACTACGTAAGTTGTTTCAATGCACAGGTACCGACCGGTACAACTACTACTTTGAGCTTTGGAAAGGGGTCAAAAATCTCCCATGCCTCAAAATTAGTGGAGTCTGTTTTCTCATGCCTCAACCGCTTAAACTGAGTGCTGCTTCATGGAAAGCGCAGATATCCTGCGTGCGCGTAAAGTAAGTTCCCGAACCGTTGGAACTGCTGTCGGAATTGAAGCCATTAGCAAAATCTTTGGTTGTAAGATCGCGATTAAACTCGAAATTAATTGAATACTATTTTAATCCGCGGTACGTAAAAAGAATATTTATATTCTTGCTATTCTTGCTATTTTTGCTATTTTTGCTGTTCTTGCTGTTCTTGCTATTCTTGCTGTTCTTGCCATTATTGCTATTATTGCTATTATTGCTATTATTGCTATTATTGCTATTATTGCTATTATTGCTATTCTTGCTATTTTCATTATCAGCAGAATAAAATAAAGCGTTGCTATATTCTATAGCATATCTCTATCTTTAGTCTTATGAGGTCAACATCAGCAAAGGATTTAATAATTTCCAAAATTGTGCATGCTATATCAGAATAGAATTCGCTCCATGGAGCGGCATTCATTTTACAGTGTAATTTGGGAGCGCTCTAATTTGGCGGTTGTGCTCTACCAATGGGGAATTACGGGTAGGCCTTCGGAAAGGAGACGGTAGAGCTCATCTCAAAATTCTCCGAGGTGATTACATCTATGGCTCGTGCCACCACGGCCAAGCTCACATTTACATATATTTAGGTAGGAGGATAATCATAATACGAAATAGGCAGCATAGGCAATTTCTGCGCAAACCCACCTGCAATTCCAACCTGCAAATCCTTCTGAAAATCTCTGCCGAAGCACTTTTAAAAAAAATATATATACGATGTAGGAAGTAGGAAGTAAACTAATCGTTGGCTCCTGAATCTTGTCTTGCACTGGGATGGCGCCGCCGAAGAGGAAGTGAAGTTGAAGTCCGGGTAACGAAGTATAGTACTACTACGCTCAACAACAACTTACTTCAGTTTCATATCTGTGGCTACCCGGTATTTGGTCTGGTATCGCCGTCGCCTGCAAGGCTTAACTTTGCACCCGTCGTCTCTGAGCCGGGCTGCCTCTTTCCATCTTCGGCGTCCAGGCTAATCGTCGGCTCGCTTAGGTGGGCCTCCATCAATCTTAGTTCTGTTATTCAAGCTCTAGAGTGCGCCAGATTCGCGAGGCTCTCCTTGTCAGCATCAAGGAAGGGGGGTGTAATATCCGGTCGGAGATGTTGGAAGCGAGCTCACAGGGCTGAAATTGATCCGTAAGCCTTCGCCTCTGCCAAGAAGAGTATTTCAGATGGCATACAGGGTAATTTTCCATTGTGCCAGACGAAATAGGCACACCGTCAGGGGGGAGTGGGGGTATAGGGGTAGAGCTTGAAGCCACCCTACTGTAAGCACGGAGATACACCCTTGTAGTCGGGGTCTTGTTTATATTTATTTTACTTGGCTCTCTATCAAAGCAGATATAACATATCCTTACCACATGGACTTCGCAAAATTATCCAGCCCGTTTCCTCGTGTCCAATTCCTTCGATCTCTACTCTCCTCGACAAGATGGATAAGCTATTTCAGGTTTCTGCGGTACTTGCCCTCGTTGTGAACTGCGCTTCTGGCATTCCGCTTTTCGGCGTCCAAACTCCCAAGAGCTATGTTGCGTTTGGAGATAGTTTTTCGTCTGGTATAGGCTCCGGGGTACTTGTGGACAAAAATGGTAAGTAGTTCATCGTATACTGTCAATTCAAATGCTGATTGCCTCAGTCGCATGCCAGCGCCAAACCGGTTCTTACCCTCGGCACCTTCTCAAATCGAACCCCTTTCTCAGAGACCAGCTTTTTAAGTATGTGTCTTGCGCTGGGAACAAGTTGGCCGATATCGACAACCAGATTGCAGAGCTTGCGAACAAGAAGTATGATCTCGCCACCATTAGTATTGGAGGCAATGACTTCCATTTCGGAGCTATTTCAGTATGTTGTATTCCCTACTATCAGAAGCCCAGCACGTTGAAACGAATATTCTAGTCTGCTTGTATCTACCAAGTTACCTCATCAGATGTCACAGACCCTCAGAAACTGTGTGACGACGCCCTTGATCTCGGCTTTGCGCAGCTCAGTAACTCGACTGTCAGAGCTGCATTCTACGAGAAGTTCGATCGGATCCAATCCGATGTTCTCAACGTGAATGGCCGAATGTACGTCGCAAACTATCCCAAGTTCTTCGCAAGGCCACGAGAAGGAGACGCATGCGACTCCATCTCCTTCTTCCCCATTGCCGGAATGGCGGCTCTTAATATGACTGCCGCCAACCGCCGCCGTGTCAATGAGTTGACCAACAAGGTCAACGAGCTGATCGAAAAGGTTGTTGGAAAATTTGGCAATAGGGTTGAGTTTATTGATTGGGATAGCCTGTTCGAAGGCAAGAGGTTTTGCGAGCCGAAAAATTCAAAGGATCCTATCGGGGCTAATAATCCCGATGTGTTCTTCAATGACTTGACGACGACTCTGGAGAGTCCTAGGGTAACAGATGCCTCACAATGGACGCCAGGCTTGAAGGTCAATATTTCGGATACGGTGCAGCAGAACTCGGCGTTTCATCCCAAAGCTGGAGGTCATCGGGCTTTGGCTGCAAAATTGACGTCCAAAATCCATAGTCGTCTCATGCAGTTTAATGCAGTTTGATTGATTGCTGGAAGACTGCGTTGCATGAAATAGAGAATACGCCCTTATCTAATGCCTTATGTCCATACGAACAGATTGGGCGTTGATATGGAAGACACCTGTCGACATATCGAGGACGCCAAGGCTAAAGCATAATCTTGTGCACAAGAAGGGCAGGGAGCCTCGCCGGGCTGGATTACAGACCAGTGCTCTTTTGTATAGCGGGGCTATCTCAAGTAGCAGGATTACATTAACAGCATAATGTCAAACTGGTTATATTGTATAATAAGAAACAAAAAATGAAGATATATTAATCGCAAATTGAATGACATATATTTCTCCCATTCTCGGCCACCAGTACATCCTGTTTTCACCACGCAATAGCGCTAATATAATTCTATTGGGCCGAATCACACCTTCTCGTCCCTCTGCTCTTTGCGTTTACTCCTCGTACTCTTCCCTGCGTACTCTTCCCTGACTCTCTAAGCTTTTGAGTTACACTCTTCCGAACTGTTATGACCTCTGCCAAGTGCTTTTCTCCTCCCCCCCCCCCCTCCCCTCCCTCCTCCTCCTCCTCCTCCCCCTCCTCGAACTCGAGCTTCTCGGCCGGCACGAAAAGGCCAAGCTCGTGTTTCGTTGCTTTTTTGAAAGAGTAAAGGAAGAGATTCGGACTGTTGTTTGCGAGAGGCGCCATTGCGTACTTGAGAGCGCTCACATGAGAGGGTGGCCATATTGAGGTTTGCAGACAGTAATATGAAAGTAGGAGTAGCTTTAGAGTTGGCGCCGGCATTAAGGGTAAGCGATGACGATATTCACGGTACAATACTACACCATAAGCTTCAATAAAGACAAGATTTGCTACCGAATATCTAAAAGCGCTTATCGCCAATGCAACTTTGCCCTACTCCTTTCACATCTCTATGCATTAGCCTCGGCGTGGTCGCTAAATGTAAAGATATCCTCGTCATATCAAAGCCTATCAAATTCAAAGTACTGATCGATAATATCATCAATCGGTCATTAATCATGTCAGGTGAACCAAACGAATTTTTCTCACCAATATTGATTTCCCCTCGCCATCCGCTTCCGCCAAGCGAAGCGGCCGCACCGACGCCGGATGACCATCACAGTTAATAACGTTTTTCCCAACGCGGTCCAAAGTCCACGACAAGTAAGATCCTGCGGCAACAATTAGCAACAATGGCAGGGGCACCAGGAGTTACCGAAGCTGCGTTGAAAGAGAAACTCGCCGCTTCACTAGGAGCTATACATGTCGAAATCGAGGACATGTCTGGTATGTACCCCGCTACCCCTCCCTGGAGCATTGATGAACGCTACTATGAACCACTATAACGCTTTACTAACTTGAAGTACAGGCGGCTGCGGACAAGCCTACTCAGCCATCATTGTGTCGCCCCAATTTGAGAAGAAGACGACGCTGGCTAGACATCGATTGGTCAACACGGCGCTAAAGGCAGAGGTTGCGGCTATTCATGCCTGGACGCCGAAGTGTTATACGCCGGAGCAATGGGAGACTTTGAGGGCCGAGGGAAAAGTGGAAATTGCGACGGCGACGGGGAAGGAGACGAATGGAGAGGTGGTTACGGAGACGAGAGCCTGAGAGCTTGAAGGGAAATGGTATTAGAATACCAGGTTTGGAGGATATAGACGCCAAGGAGAGATGCGCTGGTAAGGAGTCTGGGAGACTTAGTTGTACCATTGAGTTGGGTGACGAAGGTGTATGGATCTGGGACCTACACCCTGGGAATTACTGTATAAGGGGCGGTAATGGATCCAAATCCCAGAGATTGCAGGAGGAGTTATACCCCACCAGACCTGGAAGGAATATCCGGATCAAGTCTACTGTCTATGGACACGAAGAAATATGAAGAAAGCAACTTGATATTGGTTGGCTAATGTTCCCTTCCACCATCGCTGGAAGCAACACACTCCCCTTTCTTGCCAGTAATGTATTGGCCATCTGTGGCAATCACGGATAGTTCTCACAACTCTTTCATGACAAGTCAAGCGTTGACTCATGTAAGGTAGCCTCTCGATCTATAGCTGAATCTTTGCAAGGTTCCTCGCTCTCTTCTCATCACCCAAAATTCGGCTTCGACTGAGAGCATCCCTCTTCCCTTATCGATACTGCCAAATCCCACATTCCAGGTCGTCGTTTCTCCAGATATGACCAAGCCTTGAACAACTTTCTGGAAGTCCATCAACTCGTCTTGCTCATACGTTGTGCCACGAGACTGAAGACCGCTACTGATGACATGAACAGTACCACATTGTAAAACTGTAGAAAATGAACGGGTACTCAAGCATGTGAGCGGCTCAATACTCACTGCATTCCTCGAATATTCACTCTCCTCAGCATCTGTTCGAGCCTCAACAAAGAGCCGACGAAGGTTGGGTAGGTTTGCCTTTGAAGATGCGATTAGACTCATGGTGACAACTTTAGAGGGAATATTTTTGTTTACCATCAGGAATTCGAGATACTTAAGAGACCCGCTGTTTCATGTTCCAGGTGGTTGTTGCAGGGACTTGCTCGCTATCAAGTGGTGGTTGTTTTTACTAGCGCCAAATATTCATGGGTCACTCCAGAAGGCTGAAGCTGTCTGTTGTGCGAAATAGGTACACCGGACCTCTCCCATCCCACAACGCTTACCCACAATACCGCCATATTCGACGAGCGAGTCCATTCGGCCTAGATATTTATCTTCGAGTTCGAGAAAACCGAAAAAGGTCAAAACGATTTGCACGAAGCTGCCACCTCACCGTAACATTCAGGAGAGCCAGGGGCGTATGAGGGGCACCTCAAATCGCCATCTCTGCGAGCGATGGCTGTAAACAGGATCAAAGGGGCCTTTGCGGTACCCAAGAAAGGCGAGACATTCGAGTTGAGAGCTGGCCTGGTCTCTCAATATGCATACGAGCGTAAGGAAGCTATTCAGAAGACTATCATGTCCATGACCTTGGGCAAGGATGTGTCTGCGCTGTTCCCTGATGTTCTCAAGAATATTGCAACCGCAGATCTAGATCAGAAGAAGCTAGTGTATTTGTACCTGATGTAGGCTCTCCACCTCCTCAGGCTATGCTGCTATGAGACAATGTGCTGATCTTGCTACTAGGAACTATGCCAAATCGCACCCGGACCTGTGTATTTTGGCGGTCAATACTTTCGTTCAAGATTCTGAAGATCCGAATCCATTGGTACGAGCGCTGGCCATCAGGACAATGGGATGTATTCGGGTGGATAAAATGGTAGATTACATGGAGGAGCCCCTACGGAAAACATTGCGAGACGAGTCCCCCTATGTTCGGAAAACGGCTGCGATATGTGTCGCGAAGCTCTTCGATCTGAACCCCACAATGTGCCTGGAAAATGGCTTTCTAGAGACTCTACAAGAGATGATAGGGGACCCCAACCCAATGGTGGTAGCCAATTCTGTTACAGCGTTGGTTGAGATCAACGAGTCGGCTCCAGAGACCAAGGCTCTGCGAATTACCCCGGCGACGCTTAAGAAGATGCTGATGGCGCTTAATGAGTGCACGGAGTGGGGAAGAGTTACCATTCTCACGACATTGGCCGACTATAAGGCACAGGATGTTAAGGAATCGGAGCATATCTGCGAGAGAGTTTCGCCTCAGTTCCAGCATGTTAACCCCAGTGTTGTTTTGGCTGCGGTGAAAGTGGTGTTTTTGCACATGAGAAACGTCAGCCAAGAGCTGAACAAGCAGTACCTGAAGAAAATGGCGCCTCCCCTTGGTAAGTTGCGAGGCCAATTTCTGGCATTCGGTGCTGATGATCTTTAGTTACCCTTGTTGCATCAGCTCCAGAAGTTCAATATGTCGCTCTGCGCAACATCGACCTGCTACTGCAGGCCAAGCCAGATATCCTAAATAAGGAGCTCCGAGTCTTCTTCTGCAAGTACAATGATCCTCCCTATGTCAAGCTCCAGAAACTAGAGATTATGGTACGGATAGCGAACGACAAAAATGTTGACCAGTTGTTGGCCGAGCTGAAAGAGTACGCCCTGGAAGTTGATATGGACTTTGTGCGAAGAGCTGTCAAGGCCATCGGTCAAGCAGCTATTAAGATCGAGAGCGCCAGCGAGAAGTGTGTAAACACACTTCTCGATCTAATTGCCACCAAGGTCAACTACGTTGTCCAAGAGGCGATTGTGGTTATCAAGGATATATTCCGGAAATACCCAGGATATGAGGGAATTATCCCGACTCTTTGCAAGTACATCGATGAGCTTGATGAGCCCAATGCACGAGGTGCTCTGATATGGATTGTAGGCGAGTATGCTGAGAAAATTAGCAATGCTGATGAGATCTTGGCTGGATTCGTCGAGGGGTTTATGGAGGAATTCACTCAAACGCAACTGCAGATTTTGACCGCAGTTGTCAAGCTCTTCTTGAAAAAGCCAGACAACAACCAGGGGCTTGTACAGAAGGTGCTTCAAGCAGCCACAGCCGAGAACGATAACCCAGATATCAGAGATAGAGCATATGTCTACTGGCGACTGCTATCAGGTGACCTTCAAGTCGCAAAGGTAAAGGTTTCGCCCCCCTCATTCATGCTCGCAAGACTAAGTCATTAGGACATCATTCTCTCCGACAAGCCCGCCATCACAACAACGATGTCGTCCCTTCCGCCCATACTCCTAGAACAACTACTCACCGAACTCTCCACTCTCGCTTCGGTCTACCACAAACCACCCGAGACTTTCGTCGGCGCAGGCCGCTATGGTGCTGACGCTCTCCAACACGCAGCCATCCAAGAACAACGCCAGGATGCAGTCGATAACCCAATTGCCGCTGCAGTTGTTGCCAACCAAACCAACTCTGAGAATCTCCTTGATATTGACTTCGATGGGGCAGCACCAGCATCCGCTGACGCGCCACCCAATGGTGGTGCATCAGGCCTCGAAGGTCTCGCCGGCACGCCCCAACGAGTTGCCAGCCCGACTGCGGGTCCACCACCTGGTGCAAGTAGTATGGATGACATGATGGGTCTATTCGACATGGATGGAGGAGGCAGCTCAAGTGGACCCGGTGCAGGTCAGAATGATATGATGAACGGATTTTCGGGGTTGGACTTGGGGGGATCACAGCCGCCCCCGCCCCAAGGTGCTTCGAAAAAGGCGACGAATGAGGACCTGCTTGGGATGTTCTAGGTATCGGCTGTGGTTTTGTAGCGTCAGAAGAGGTAATGGCTTGATCAATGAATTTCCAAACGAACGTCGAGACTTCCTGAAAGTATCTTTGACTTTGAGAATTTGATATTCAAATATGCTTTCAGCGTGCGGAATCAGTACAGGAAAGATCCTCGCTGTTAGTATTTTAGCTGAATCCCTTGAAGTTTTTCTTAGTCAATACATCGACTGGCATGCCTTCCTCAACCGAAAAGATCCTCAGGAAGCGGTAATTACTACTGATCCGCACGGATTCATTCAATTAATCAATTATTAGCTGCTCTTCACCATAAAATTACGTCCAGCCAATGATCATCCATAATTGATTAAGAACAAGGGGAGAGATTTCGGATTCTCTCCATCCATCTACCCTCTCCCCCTCCCCCTCCCCCTCCTTTCTTCACTCATCCCCCTCCCCCTTCTCCCTCTCAACCCTACTACACCTCTCCCTCGCCCTCCTCACACTCTCCCTCATATGCTCCTCAACCTTCAGCGTCTCGAGCGCCTGGTACTTCGTCCCGGGCGGCGCGACGTTCTCAAAGAGCCGCCGCATCACGTCCTCGCTCGTCTTGTCCCGGCCGCCCATGTCCGTCAGGTACTTCTCGCGCAGAGCCTCCGAGACGGAGAACCAGATTATGGCTTTGCGGCGGCGCTCCATCTTGGTGAGGATCTCGTCGTCGATGGAGGGGAATTCTTCTGTGGGGGCGAGGGCGGTTGTGGAGGTGGTTGGGTCGGAGGAAGAGGTGGAGGTGGAGGTGAGAGAAGAGGAATGGGGGGAAGAGGAGGGTGAGGTATCGGGGGAGGGGGGGGAGGAAGAGGAGGAGGTGTGGGTCGTTGTCGTCCAGCTGTCGCGGCCGGCGCCTTCGCCGTCGCGGTAGACTTTCATGTCGGCGTTCCAGAGGCGCCAGTTGCTGTCTGCGTCTGGAAGGGGAGATGGGGGAGCGCGTGTTAGTATATGTGTATATATATATGTATACATATATATATATGTGTATATGTATATGTATATATGTGATGTTCAAACATGTCCCCAGTCGATAGTAGATGGTGTATAGATCGATGGATAGATGGACGGTGATTGAATTGGATTGGACTTGGACTTACCAGTCAAGCCGCCGCGGAGCGTAACAGTATAGCAAGGCATCTCTCCGATCTAGTAAGTAAAAAGAGTCAGCAAAAGTCTAGAGTTGTTCTCCGAGAGAGGGAGAGTGAGGCGGTCGTCAACGGCAGGTAAGAGAAGCAGCAGCAAGAGCAGTAGTAGTACTTGCCATTCCCAAGAAGACGTCTCCTCCAGCGCACTTCTTTGCTTTCGATTTTTTAGGCGCCATCTTTCTTGAATCTTTTCTTCTTTCAATGTATTCTTTCCTTTTTTTTCTTTCCAGCCGAATTCAGGTCCTGCGTAAGTCGTACGTAGCGGCGCAGCATGCAATTGTCTTCTTAAATTGCGTGATGGTCGTCGCTGTTACAGGCGGTGTAGAGCGGCAAATTATCTTGTCAATCAATTTACCATGAAGCTCGCTAGAAAACTTCTAGTTCATGTATTTTTGATATCGAAAGCTGGTGTTTCACAACTCTTTGTTCAAGAAACAAATGCCACGCACCTATGACCCTCGTTGTCTGAGAGTACATCCATTCTCTTCTCTATCATATCAGCCGGCTCTTCTCCAGTAGTCGGTTACTTTAAAAAAATTCTTGTAAAATTGATCCGACTGATTAAATTCAAGGCAACCGACGTTTACCCCTTTTGAGGTCTTCGCCAACTCCTATTCCTTCCACCAGAATCCATACTAGAGCAATCACTCTGGTACTGGATACCATCCAGGGAATTCGGCAGGCCCTGGGTGGGAAGGAATCTTCCAAGTTTTGTCTTTCTAGTTGGAAGGCCTGGTACGAAACGGTGTCTGTCCAAATGGTATATGACCATGGCGTTGAGCCACTGCGCGAGATACCTAGTTGTTGACTCTTGAGGCCAACTAAAGTAACGACTCGACTGATTGGGAAAGTGGTTCTAAAGATAGCAGTTAGCCGGAATACTCTTTAGATGAAGACACAATCTCAATGCTGGCTGTTTGAATCTTCAACTCAAGTTCCTTCCAGCAGTACGGGCGGGGAAGAAGCATGACCATTTAGAAGATCTTGGGAGACACTGCAATTGCTCTGACTAGCCCGCCGAACTCGCTAAATACAACTCAAGGCATGAAAAGTGCCCCGGTTCCTTTTTGCCTATCTTCTGCTCCTCACCAGTTTGTCCTCGAACCATGAAATCTTCATTTGTCGGCAATTATGTACCACGAAGATATCTCTGCCCGCAAGTTACGGCCCTAACGCCGAGGGAGACTGATCTCTTCCAGAGACGCCGGCGCTATACCACGCAGAGAAATGCTTGCTCTGACCGTTGCGCCGCCACCGACCTCAAACTTCTTCTGGAGAATCATGTTCGGTGCCTCTTGAACATCCGACAGTGGTATCTCGACCGAGCCTATCTCAGCCTTCTGATCCATAAGAGCAATGCGGAAGTTCTGCGCCCCACTGCCTACCAGATCGGCTGTGACGGGGATACGGAAAGTCGAATCGAAAGTCGGATTGGAAATGTCTGTGCCTGGTGTGTCCGTGATGACGGCAGTTTGGAAGTGATGCTTCTCGCCCCAAGTCACAACGACACTGGGCTTAATCTCCTCCCGCTTGCCAGGAACACTGAACGCACCAGCCACTAGGACGGTTGCCACACCACACAGTGAGCCTTCGGCGCTGTGTTCCGACGCAGAGAAGCTGCTATTCTCGGATGCGAAATGATAGAATTTGCAAGACAGCGAGATTTTGCCCTCGACTGGCTTTTCTTTGTGTACTAGGCTCAGATCATGCTTACCACCGGCAGACAAGATGTCCTTGACAGTAGTGACACCAAGACCAATCTTGTCATCGCTGTTGAGGTCGTGGTCCAGTAGGTCAACGGCAATGCATTGGTTCAGATCAGTGACCACGAAATCGTGCACTTCGTTCCAGCTAGGATTGGTAGTGTTATTCTTAACAGAGGTCTGCCATGGTTCTTCAGCACCAACGCTGACCTTGCAATAGGTATCGGGGGAGGCACCAGTGAGCTTTGAGAAGAGCCTCTTGCCTGTACTCTGCTTCTCCTCTGCGAAACCTGTCGCCTTCTCGACTGTGAGCCGGATGATGCCAATCGGGGAGATTTGGGTCTTGAAGTAATCGTTGGCGGCATCGATTTTGTACAAGAAGCGGTTGGGCATCACAAACATGGAGTTGATGATGCTGAGGATGACCCGACGTACGGATCCATCGATCATATCAAGGTCAGCAAGATTAGCGGCACCTGTGAAGTCTAGCTTGAGCACTGGTGGGTTCACAAAAGCGATTTGAGCAGCTCCAATCTAGATGGTCGTCAGCAAGATTTGACCATCTACCAGTAACATGATGATTCGCTACCAGAGGAATGATATCAGAAGTCGGACCAAGCAGAATGGAGAGCCTCCCATGAAGGGCGACTTTTTCGACTCCCTGTAGATCAGATCAGCTCGTAAAATTGATGCAGGAATTCTCAGGCCAGCCTACAAGTGTCGGGATCATGTTGCCATCCAGCTCAATATCACATTTGCCCGCCCAGTCAACATTCATGTCCAGCTTGATACAGTCCGCCTCCGTCTTCGTCACGAGGACGTTAGAGAGCTGGAAGGGAACATGGCCGAGATCAATCTTCGTGAAGTGCAGACTGGCGAGGGGGCCTGGAAGCATGGTCTTGAACATGGGGTCGGCGATTTCCTTGGTCATCTTGCTGGCGGCAACATTGATGTGTGGCCAGAGATGGGCGACGATGTCGTTCAAGAAGCCTAGACCCGACGCTTCAGCTTTCACGCATGATGAGATTTGGAATTTCGACTTACGGACAGATTCTCCGCCGCCCTCGGCAGTGAGTTTCTCAACAAGTGATGCCATGATGGTTGAAGCAGGATCGATAGATGCGTGATGAGGAGAGAATAGGAAAAGAGTCTCCGGAGGAAGACAGAAAGACAGAAAGATGGCAAGACAGAAAAATGGAAAGCTTTCCGAGTTTCCGAGATGGCAAGAAAGTACCCGTGAAGATGAGAGAGAAAGATGTTGAATGCGGGGTTCGATGAATGATGAATGATGAATGGTCATGAATAATAGGGAAGTTACCCGGCCACTCGAACCTACTTTCTATTTACTTCGACCGATAGGTGCATGGGCTGAGCTGAGCTGAGCTGAGCTGAGCTGTCGTAGCTTGGCTGCTGTGACATCATTGACTGACTCACTTGCTATGTGCTGGACGGTTGAATGTGATGGATGTCGTGAAACACCAGAATCAACCAGCTTCTACCCGCGTGGCGTGGTGGTGAACAACAAAACAGCCGTCTATGCTCACAGAGATACCAGTCCTGAATCCTGGCCCATCACGTGTCTTGGTGGTGTGGTCAGAACGCGTCGCCCAACGGAGCTGTCTCTCCTCTCCTCCATACAACAGCACCATGTCCGCCAGACCACTACGCCGTCCTGGAACTCTCCACACAATCTACCTCCGAGGAAATCATTGTGTCTTACAGAAGACTTGCGCGACTCCACCATCTGGACAAAAACCGGGAGCACAATTCAACCGCAAAGTTTCAAAAGGCTCAATTTGTTTTCCACATTACATTTCCCCTGTGGTTCGGCACTCGAGGTTTATCAAAAGCTGACGCTAGCTACTACAGATACAACAGGCCTATGAGATCCTGAGCGGCCCGGTCAGGAAACGGAACTATGACTTGCAATCTGCTGGTCGACGGGGAGGTGGACTGTGGCATGAGACGGATTCCAGAAACAATCATTACCATGCCCAGCATCACCAACGTCACTACGCGGATCCCTTAGACGAAGAAGACGAAGAAGATGAACTGGCACGTATTCTATACGAAGAGTTCATGCGCAGAGAGATCGAGAGGAGGACGAAGGCAGCGCATGAACTCCGGGATACTATCCAGAGGCGTCTGCATCGATCCCATCTATGGGCTCTACTTTGGAAGTCGACCTTCTGGCTGGTATCTGTACGTCTCGCATACCACATGGTCATGTTCGCCCAATATATGGTCTCTGGGCCCTTCTTTATCTGGGGGTTACGGGCTGTCCAGGTTGGTGTATTCTACCAAGCCGCGTTACTCATGAGTGAGCGCGGGCTTTCCTGGAAATCGGCTGTAATTCTGGGATACACCATGGGTGCTTATTTTCTTTTCATCCGCGTTCGAGATCGCTCACCCTCTGCATTTATCCGCTTTTTCATGCAGTGGACGTACATTGCCGTCACAAGCTCTGTGGGAGGTTTCGGATATGCTTGGCTCGTCTACGACCCGGTTACAAGTAAAACCGAGAATCAAAAGTTCCATGGGATTCCGTCCGAGGAGGTATTTAAAAGGCCCGAAGGCATTTCGAACAGATGCGGCAAGAATATGCGAATAACGGCACTCGAAGCCAGGGAACGGACCAGGGCACGAGGCGGGCTAGACGGAGCACGAAGAAGCAGACTAGGAAGCAGAGCGGTAGATCCAAACGGAGATACTACGTAGAATGAGGGTACGAACAACAAGATTTTAGTCCTCGACTGATGCACAGAAACAGTATCAGGTCTTCGAAGAACTCGGAGAAGAAGAAACACCAACATGATAGACCCCAGCAGCAGTGATAGATCCAAAGTCCGAGGTCCAGACACCTAGCCAAACGGTTGCATAAACTTTATAGGACCTCACAGACTTGGAAGCGGACCGATATCTGAGGAAGGGGTTGGAAAGTAACAGCCGTGGAATATCAAAAAACAGCGACGCTGTGATGCCAGAAGCCCGGCGAGAGACGCCGGATGAGCGGCGGATGAGCAAGCAAAGGAAGCGATTGGAGCCTTGTTCACACCACTGACAGAGCATAAATAGGTTAAGTCCGCGCTGCACTGCCGATGGCCTAAACCAAGTAGGTACCGATCTAACTGGTTGCCATTGAAGAACTGGTTTTGTATTCTTTTTAGAGTTCTTCGTCTTTTCTTTGCTACCAACAGTGTCTTTGGTGCCTTTCGCCATTAAAAGCTCAATCTTGAAAGACTCGAGGCTACGAGACAAAGAACGGGGGTTTGTGGAGCTTAATACAAGCTATTGTTAGACTGTGCGGTACCTAGGTATTTTCTGTTGAATGCTTCAATTCTCTCGCCAAGAATCCAAGTGGGAGCCAGACCGAGTCCTTTCAATTCCCTCTAAAAAATTCCGCTTCTCTATTACATATAATCAGGAAGGCCACTTGGCTCAGAGCGTAGGCCGAGGAGAAGTGTAATACCTCTTCTGCGTACCTACCGTACAATGGCTATGAGTACCTTCAATACTTTATAGAGATTCAGATCCGGGTCAAATGGCTTACATGGTCGATGGATTTGCCATATCTACCTTACTTATCACAAGCCTCAGATTAGCGGATGAAGGATGCTGCTCACGGGCGTCTGGTGAATCGTGAATCGTGCCTTGCCTTGGTGTTTAGCTCCCGCAGCAAATGAAAATCATTATCTGCAATTTCTCGTCCTTCTCTGCTCCGAAGTTTCGAAATCCATTTTGTTGCAGGAGGCATCGATCGTTTGCGACCGCCTCTATGGATCTGGATTCCTCGGGATAGAGAAGATGACGCTAATCGATCGGATAGGGTCTCGAATAGAAGATAAATATATCGTTGTGAACTCTTCGTACAAGGACGAAGGAGAGCTAGCTTACAAATATAAATAAGTCATGTACGAATACTTTTTTGGCTTTGGCAAGTCGAGCCTTGACCTCCCTCCTCTTCTGCTCCTGCTAGCTCTAGATCGAACACCTCTCCAACCTTACGGGGCGGGGGTGGGGGAGGGGGAGGGGGCATAAACCCAAATCACCTTTCTCGACCACATTCGTGGAAATAAGCATTTGCAGCTGCTGTCCGGTCTCTTCAACCCATGAGAAGCGCAGCGCTTTCTCGGGCTTCTTTGATACCCGTAGTCTGATGTGACCCTCTACGTATAAGGATATTTTCGCTTCCGCCCCATAGGGATCTCGGGATGTACTACGTTAGATCTTGCTGAATTCTTTCATCGTCCGCTTTTTCTTGCTTTGATAACACAATACCAAGTCCCTGCCTCTTCCTGGCCTTCCCGGATATAAACAGGCTCTTGTCCTATGAAGACTATTAGCTCCGCCGGATAAGTAAGTGAACGATCTACGTAGTAGTAGTACTGTATATACTACTACTACGTAGTAGATCAGACTCACCCATATAAAAGCCTGGACCTAATCTATCGGCGGATGATGGTTTCCCTACATGAAAGCATAAGGTGGCATGGGTTAGCTCCCATGATTTTGTTAGTCGGGCGGAAATTTGAGTTTATATCTTCCGCAAGATCTGAGATTCACTTTCAACTAAACGCAGAATCTATGTCGCTCTCTTCCCCCTAAAGAATCCCCCGAGCGCACTCATTAAGACACCAAATCCCTTCCCTCCACTCCCCTCTACCAGTCCCTCGCGAATCCACCCCGGCAGCTTCCCCCTAATCTTCTGGCCCTCGAATCGCTTATCGATCATGACTATAGCTGCATAATCGCCTCGATGGCGAATGGCACGCCCTACGCTCTGGTTGACAGCTCTCATGCAGGCATTCTCGTAGAACTCGCGGGCTTCCCCTTTGCCTCTTGTGATCATCTCTTCCTTGCTTAGCTTCAGCTTCCCGTCTATGTGCTGGTTGGTTGAGGTGCATCCAGAGCCAGCAAGTCCCTCGGCTTCTAAGCGCTCGACGATCGACGACTCGATATACTGAATCTTAGCCCTCCACTCCGCCGAGTTGATGTTCGGGAACGGCAGCCCGACGATAACGACACATCGACCCAGCGAATCCGAGAAATTGATCCCCTCGCTCATTTTACCACCTACGACGCTTAGCAACAAGCCGCCTCTACCGGTATCGATGGCTTTTGCGTATTCATTCAAAACGGTATCAACGCTCTGCTCTTTGCTCTCCTTGAACAGGACTTTCTTGCCTTCCAGCCGCTGCAGAAGCGATTTCTGGTCTTGCCCAGGGATGACTTCCCACCTCGAGACAATGGAAGATAGGTAGCTGTAACTTGGGAAGAAGACTACCACGCCATCGGGTACCACTGTGCAAATGTTGAGGAGCGCGCGACCGAGATCGTCGATCATGTCGTTGTTACCTCTATTCTTGAACGTAAAGTCGAACTCCTGTCCTGTGGGACCTCTACTGAGATTCCAAGCAAGTAGATTTTCCTTGGGGATAACGTGCCCGCATGAAAGTGTGGTGATGCCGGCAGGAGGTAGGTAAGGGAAGAGGTGCGATGTGTAGTCGGACATGGGGGACATGGTTCCACCGGCGAGGATCACGGCGCGAGCTTCGGAGACGATGGCTTGAAAGTGCGGCGCTGGGTCGAGGAGGAGGAATTTTAGGTTTATGAGATCAGGTGATGCTGGATTTGGGGATAACGCGTAGAAGAGGCGGCCTTCTTTCGAGGGGTGGGTGAGGGCTAAAAGAAGGGAAGAAATTTGGTGAAGCACTGGTGTTGACTTGCTTTGCTCAGAGGTCTTGGCGGTAGTGGATGTATCGGTTTCTGTGTATAGGGCGTAAGATTCAACTTTGCGGGCGAGCTTGCTTTCCTGGAGGTAGTGGACAAGTTTGAAGAGGTTTATTTGATCCACGCCTTTGCCAGAGAGAAGCTCTTTGTCAGAGACAATACCGTCGGATTTCTCTTCGAGGTCAGCCCTGAATGATAAATATAATGGAGTTTCACTCACGTGAAGGGCAAGTCTGCTTTCCAAATATCCAGTCAAGGAATCAATGACTCTCACAACCTGCGCAATATACACCCGGTTCTTACCCTTGAGCCGATTACGGAATTTCTGCAGATACACGCCTAACTGTGCTCTTCCTCTCTTCAACTGCCTTAAGCTGACTTCCACTCCATGGATCCCGGAAATGGCATCCATGAGGTTATGAGCTTCGTCAATAATCACAACGTGACCCTTCAAGCTGATACCCAATGCCTCTCTAGCACTCTTCTGTAGAAGGAGGGGATACGGTAGAGTGACAATCTCAGCTGGCCTGATAGCCGAACGCGAGGCATAGTAGGGACAGATGCCTATTTGCTTCCCAAGATCTCCCATATCCTCGATGTCCCGAATAGTTGCTAGAGAACGGTCACGGAAAGTGTTCACAAGTGTCTGGTTCTCCTTATTTGGAAGGAACACACATTTGTGTTCCTTTGGTGTACTGGTCTGCTGGAGCTCAGCACAACGTTCGTTGACGGCGGTTAGAGAATTGAGTTTGTTGACTTTTGGGTTAATGCATAGGTTCTTGCGAGATCCAAGGGTAAGATGCTTCAGATCCTCTATATCGCTGGGCTTAATGTTTTCGTCCTTTATAGACGGCGGAAAGTTTACTCTGCGTAGCTCGTTGATGAATTGCGTGAGTTGGGAGTGTGTCCGTGAACAGTAGAAGATCTAAGATTGTTAGTCTGGTTTTTAGCCGAGTATTGATGGCTTACCTTAGTCTCGTCTTCTGATTCCTCGTCTTCATCTTGTGAAGCGGTCGGTCCCATCCCAATCTGACCCAACAGCTTCAATGTTTCTGCTGAAAGACCACTGGCCGACCCACCACCACCATTATGCTCCCGATCGCTCTCGTAATCATCCAAAACATATTGCTCTTCGTCGTCGTCATCGTTTGCCATATCAATTTTGCGTCTTTTAAAGCCTTGATCTCCTTTCATGTACTTGTCTCGCTGCGCCTTCTCCTTAGCTCGTATCTTGGCTAGTCTGGCTTCCATGTCTTCACGATGTCGAAGCATCTCGCGACGCTTGCGAGCTCTGGCTTGCTCTATGATCCATTCTGGTTCATCTGAATCTGGATAGGCTTAGTTAGATACTTGGGAATAGAAAATGCGGTAGGGTATACTAACCATTTTGACCCCAGTTCAGTCCCTCCTGGAACTCCCGGCCCTTGTGATCTCTCAGCCATGTAAGAGCACCACATATCAAGCTTAGCGATTTCCCCTGGAAGCATTAAGATGGTCAGTTCCGTTCTTTTGCGTACTCAATTTGGCACATCATACGAGAGCGTGCCATGAGGGCTCTTGAGATTTAATGTCACGTGACTTACAGTTCCAGCTGCATCGAATTAGCAACGCCCACCCTTCAAAAATGTTCGAGCTTACTAGGACTTTCCAAAATACCAACTTTTCCATTTTCTAGCACCTGATACACCGTTTCCATGAATGTCTCCTGAATCGTATAAGGTGTAAATGGATGGTGAAAGTCACGTGTAGACACACTATTCTCCTCGTCTCCGTCTCCGGACTGAGCCATGATCGCAGTCCCAGATTAGCTGCAGCCCAAACTTCGCCCACACAGATTGTCAGATGCTTGTGTTAGAGCCTGGATGTTGTTGGCTGAGAATTGCAGCATGAGGCTGTGTAGGAAGGACGCGCGCAGTCTGTGTCTTTTGAAAGGCGCAAACGATTCCTTCGCTAGGTACGTAAGATATATACGTCTTGGCATACCTCCTACTCCCGCCTCAGCACCAGCCTCAATTGATTGAGATGGCTTTGAAGACTGAATACTCTCCAGTTCCTATAGCTAGGAAAGCTACCTTATAATCAGGGTGTTATGAGCTGATTAATCTTGAGATAAGTCGCATCCAACTTTCAGAATTTCCAGCAGCTAGGCACCGCCGACGTTGGCCAAGATTTTGTTTGTGTATTGCCTATTACTCTTTACAGCTACATGCAAAAAGCTGCGCATATACACGACATCATGAGCTCAGCACTGTCATGATATTCTATATATAAATATATCGATGCTAACTTTATGCTGACGTTGCTAACAATCCGAAGTTTCCGATGACATCAAGCCCCGAGCGTGTCCTCACTAGTGCGATACATATCAGGTCAAGCATAAATGTAAACAAAGCTAATCTTATCATTTCTGTAAACAAAGGGAAGGTGTTGCGTTATATGTAAGAATTTGGTGTTATATAACTAATGTGATTTCGTTATTACACCCTCGTCACTCCTCTATGTATACACTGCAGAAGTATTTATTTATCAATGCCCGAAGAGTCGCGGCCTCACTTTAGCTTGGATCACCCAGCGCGTCTTTCTTGAGTCGACGGCCTACCACCACTGGCGAGCATCCCAGACCAACCCAACCAACCCAACCTAACGCCTATTTGACGCGTTACCCGCCCATTTTACTTCATAGCCTGGAAGCTTCTCTACTTGTTGTGACAGAGATCTCCAAGGCCAAGTCAATTACCTGCAGCCATGTCGTCCTACGGCTATGGCTATGGCGAGCAAGGGCGAAACTCGTATAGTGGCAGCAATGCGCGGGGGGGTCAGCAGCAACAAGGTTACACGCACGCAGGACGGAACCAATACTGTACGTAGAATCCTGCGCCTGTGCAATTTCTCCTTATTTCTCCTTGTCTTTGAGTGAGTGTTGCCCTCCGCCTCTGGGACATGGTAGCACCCAGGCATCTTCTGTTTCGGCGAGTCGCTGAATCCGAGACGGCCTACTCTCGACCCTTTTACCCCCCATCCTTGTGCACAAAGGCATCGACCGGCTTTGCAATTTCTTAATTTATACATATGCCCGCTCCAGGATCTGACGTATAACAGCGCATCAGCCTCAGTACGACTACGAGCGACAGGCAAATCAAGGACAACATCCGCAGTATAACATGGCAGACGGGAATCATCTCCAGGAGCCTATGAAGGCTACCTTCTATCCTAACCAGAATGATGATTTCTTCATGCCCGAAGTGATCTCTCCGACCCCTACGAGAATAATGCCGGAAGTGCCCTCGAATATGCAGGAAGGGCTGGCACATTTGGAGCTTGAATCGCGGGTGCCGGCCATGAGCGCATCCTCCTCTGTTTCTTCTGTGCAGTCTCCATACGCAGAACAACGAGGGAGCAATCGACAATCTTCTCGATCGACCGGGCCGGGGTTCACGGCGAGCTACGAACACACAAATGCCTCAGCGTACCAGAATATAAACAGAGACAATCGGAATCTGTTGCCCAGCGATTCTCCCAAGTTCAGTCCTTTTCCGAAGCTGCGAAATCCGGGGCAGAATGTTCCTCTGTCGGACGAGGATAAGGAGGAAGTTCTGGAGCGGGCGAGGCCTTTGGTGCTGAAATCGATAGATCCTGAGATGCAGTTGGCATGGGCTCAAGATGCGCTGTCCTGGGTCGAGGTAGCAAGCCAGTGTGCAGCCCGGACGCAGCCAGAGGGGCAGATTGGGCGACCCATAACTCCAAAAATTGAGCACCAGCTGAGGGAAGATGCACTGAACATCGTGCGGTTCCTAGCAGACCAGCACCACCCGAAAGCAGAGTTTATAAAGAGCATGTGGCTGGAATTTGGAAAGTTCGGATACAGGGTGGATAAGAAAGAGGCATTTATTGGCTACAAAAACGCTGCTCAAAAGGGATACGCGAGGGCCGAATACCGGATCGGAATGCAATACGAGACGGGCAACAATCCCGCCAAGGCGATCGAGCATTATCAGAAAGGTGTGGTAGCGAGAGATTCAGCATCGAATTACCGACTGGGGATGATGACTTTGCTGGGTCAACACAATATGCCACAGGACTATCAACGGGGAGTGGATCTCATTCGATTTGCTGCAGATACCGCAGATGAGAACGCTCCACAAGGAGCCTATGTTTACGGAATGCTGCTTGCCCGAGAGTTGCCCAATATTTCAATCCCAGAACAGTTTCTAGCATTCGATTTGAATGATGCGAAGATGTTCATTGAGAAGGCGGCATATCTTGGATTTTCAAAGGCACAGCTGAAGATGGCACAGGCGTACGAGCTTTGCCAGTTGGGTTGCGAATTCGAGCCAGCGCTTTCCTTGCATTACAACGCTCTGGCTGCTCGGCAGGGAGAGAGCGAAGCCGATATGGCCATCAGCAAATGGTTCTTGTGTGGATATGAAGGGATCTTTGACAAGAACGAGGAGCTGGCGTTCACTTACGCCAAGCGGGCAGCCATGACCAAATTGGCTACTGCTGAATTTGCCATGGGATACTTCTACGAGATAGGAGTCTACGTGTCTGTGGATCTAAGGGAATCGGAAGCATGGTATAAAAAAGCCTCAGATCACGGAAACACAGATGCTTTGGGTAGGATCGATAGCATTAGAAGGAACGGCGCTTTGACGAAGCAGGATCACGAGAAAGTGGCGATTTCGAGAATCAAGTCCCAGTACGGCTCTCAGCGAGGCGGCAGACCTGAAAGGTTCAAGACGCAGCCACCCCCTCTGCCTGCGATGAACGAAGAACGTATGAATGAGCCGCAATCTAGAACTTCATACGGGGGGCCACCATTGCGTGCTGTCAATAATGCGCCTCCACAAAGACCTGTATCAACAGCTCCGTATCCCGACGACGACATGCCACATGTGGCTGGATACCGCCCAAATCCAGGACTGCGAGCAAATTCCGTTGGAGGACCTGTCGCTGACAGACCGTCTTCCGCATTCGGTATTCGGCCTCATACCCACCTAGCTACCGACAACTATGGCCAAGGCCTCAGACCAGGAACTGAGCCAATGCGGCCTGCCACAAGTATGGGTAACATGCCTCAACATCCTATCCAGCCATCTGGTAGAGGCGGACCGCCACCACCTGGAGGCAACCGGGTCCCAGGATATGCGAGCCAGCCACACATTATTCCTCAGGCTGAAATGGGCCGCCCTATTCAACGACGAGACCCGATGCAGAACCAGTTCCAAAGACCAGAGCGCCTCAGCTCCATACAGCCTCCTCAGGGTCCGCCTGTGATGTCTGGTGGCATGATGAGTCCTCAATCCTTGATGAGTCCCCAATCCATGACGAGTCCCCAATCCATGATGAGCCCACAACAGCAACGCCCTGATTCCCAGAATGCTGGACGGCCAGCCCAACGTCCTACCCCACAACAGGCGATGCCTTCGCAGCAAGGACCTTCCAGACCGTCATCAGCTTCACCTTCCGTAGCGCCCTCGGGGAGTGCACAGGGATCGGGTACTGCTACACCGGGGGCGAAGAAAACCGGACCTGCTACTTTCGAAGCCATGGGAATCCCAGTGCAGAAGGAAGAGCGCGAATGTGTAAGTATCTGCCTCCTGACACCCAACTTCTAATACTGATCTCCAATAGATTATGATGTGATGATGGAAGCATTGATACTTTTTTGGTTGGGCATTGCGTGCATATAAGTGATCATTGTTGGCGTTTGTACTCAGTGCAATCTTGCATTTTCTGAAACGGCGACTACATACATACACTTCTGAGTAGGAACGATACCCGGGTGCTTCTTCATCGCCTAGCCTTCTCCTCTCGTTTCTCACGTGATATGTTAGATGTATCTCCACTTCTCGTTCCTGCCCTTCTTGGCTTCTCTCGTGGGCACATTTAGTATCTATTCATCACACCATAATATTTCCAGCTGTCTATATCTACTCTTATACAAGGGCTCTTCGTGTTGGGTCCTGATACTCCCATCTCCTGCTCTCCTCTTCATCATCCACATAATCCATCTTCATCGCGCGCATACCTCACCATGGCGCCCCGCAAACCAAAAGCAGAAGACGACGCCGCGTCCACAACATCAACCGACCTCCCCGCCGTCCTAAAACCTAAGACTGAAAAAGCCAAAGTCGAGAAACCCAAGTCCGAAAAGCCGAAAGTCGCAAAGCCCAAGGCGCCGAAGAAGGAGAAGGTTGAGAACGAGGAGAAGGAGGCAAAGCCGAAGAAGAAGGCTGTCAAGAAGGATAAAGAGGAGAAGGATGAGGATGGGGACTTTGACATGGATGCTGATGCGGCTGTGAGTAAGCCGGCGAAGGCAAAGACAGAGGGGAAGGCGAAGGTCGAGAGCAAGGCTGTGGGTGGAGGTGGTGCTGTAGGAAAGGGGGATGGCAAGGAGAAGGTTAAGCCTGTCAATGGGGAGGAAGCTATGGAGCTCATTCGGGCGTACTTGAAGAGGGAGAATCGGCCGTATAGTGCGACGGAAATTAGTGCGAATCTGCATGGGAAGGTCTGTCATTTTTCTTTTTCCCGTTCAGGTACATTGCTCAAGGGGTGCGTTTCGGAAAGGAGAAAGATCTCTGAGTGCTGGCTGATTGTGATACCGACGGTGTATATGAAGGTTACCAAGACAGTAGCCGACAAGCTGCTCAAGGACATGGAGCAGAGCGGACAGATCAAAGGCAAAGCTACCAAGAGCGGAACCGGTGGCCAATGGGTCTTCTGGCCTATCCAAGTATACCACACTTCTCCTCCTTTTCGTACGTCGTTCACAGAATCCAGGATCCCGCCGACTCAGCCTCCCCCGAAGAGCTCGCCGCAATGGATACCGCCATCGAGGCCCTCCGCGAACGCATGCCCGCCATCAAAGCCTCCCTCAAAAGCCTCAGAGCCAAGCTCGACGCCCTACGCACCGCACCTACAACCGTCGATCTCGCTGCCGCTATCGAGCGCATGCAAGAAGAGAACGTCGCTAAGAAGGAGAGGTTGCTGGCATTCCAGCAGGGTACCGTCAAGACTGTTACGACGGAGGAGGTGGAGAATGTGGAGAAGGATTTAAAATACTGGGGTGGGAAGAGGACGGCTAGGAAGAGGGCTTTTGAGGCTGTGGAGGGGCAGTTGAGAGAGGGGATGACAAAGGAGGATATCTGGGACAAGGCGGGGATTGAGGAGGATACTTATTGATACCTGGGGGGTGATTCGCTTAAGCTGCGTGGTTCGATATGATTTGGGGTTTCGTGGAGGGTTGATCAGCTGAGGTGGTTGCTACGATATGGATGCTGGCTTGGTAGGGAAAGACTGTACTATATATGAAGGGGAGGGGGCTGATATCTTGCTATAAAAACGATTTTGGGCGTGTAAAAGAGACACATTTGCTGATAATAAGCTATGTTTCGAGGAATATACCAAAACTTCAAGTCTCCTCCAAAAACAGATCGGCATTCGGTTCAAAAATGCAAGCGAATGTAACTCTCACAGAAATGAAGACTACCCTCGTTGCGATCAACCTGCCGGGGAAAAATGAAAATTGCGACTTCCTATCAGGCTATGGAAATCAGAACGCATCCAGTCATCGGCCAGATTCTGTGCCCCATGCTCCAGCCTCGGGGTATTGAATGTATACATAGTGATCAAGACTCGACCCATTCTTGACGATGCCGAAGCTCCTGGTGCCTACGGTAAACCCAAAAATACCCTCTCATCACTCTTCACAGCGATAAAATTGAATCCTCCACCATGGAAGATGCACGTTCGCCTCCGTGCCAGGCGAGAGTCGAGACATGGGGAGCCTTTCACCAACGTGCTGCCGAAACCCAGCTCTGCCCTTCATCAGATGCAGTATAAACGGCTTCGCCAGGAAAACGCCATAAAGAATCTATCAGTTTCTTCTCATATGGCCCAGAGATTGTTTCGGTTCGCGGAGTTCCTTTCAATCTCCGGTATTGGTCTACTACAAGTAGAAAAAGGGGAGAAGCGAGTCCGGGTCAGTCTCGCATCTCAATCCGTCAAGCTCGGGTTCAATAAAGGCGGCCCAGGCGCAGCGACTTCAAATATGCCCAAGCCTCGTCATCCAATTGATCTCTGAAACCAAATCAGCCCGAATCTCGTGATACCGAGCTGGGAAAAAACCTCCCGAACCAAGTCTCGGTCTTCAGAAACAACCGACTTTGACCATGGTTAGGGTACGCAGTCTCTTTGACCCATCCCCCAGGACGCTTCCGAGAAGAGCGCAAAGACCGAGTGACGGCGGAAGCTGGACAAGAAGGAAGTAGGAAACAGCAGCCTCCCCCTTTCTGCGACACCTACATGCTCCCAGACCCAAATATCCCGCGAAGGTGAAGGAGTGAGTCCTATATCGAGATACGGTGTCCTCGCTTATCTCTCAGGTCTGATCAAACAAACGATAATCAGACATATGCAATAGCCAGAGAGAAAAGAGTGAGAGGGTTAAAACCGTACTGGAATTGCAGAGAGAGAGTAGAGGCGAGTAAGAGCACGCCCAAGTAAAAAAACTATACAGTTCCGCAGATGAAAAGCTTCAAATAGCAGGGGACAAATGTATGTATTAGTTGGTTGCATTTAATGGTTACGATGCTTTCACTAAGAGCTTCCGCATCGTATGCTCTAATACAGTCTTGATGTCCGGATCCAGTTCCTCCAAGGCCAGGATCGGCTCAATCCAGGCTCTTGTCTTCTTTACAAGCTCTGTCTTGTCATTCGTCTTCTCCATTGATTCCTTCAGTCGGTCCAGGAATGAACCCAAAGCCATTGGGAAGGCTGCCGAGTTTGGATCGATTCCAATCAGCGGCTGCTTATTGTAGTAATTGCACGTAAATGGGTCTTTGGGGTATGATTCGGTCAGGGTATCTAGAACATGTTGCAGAATTTTTGGGAGACAGCGTACTTGCGTGAAGTTGGCGAACATGTCGAAGAAGTCCGCGGCTACTGCTGCATTGAAGAATTGTTGCTTCTTGGCTTCGTCGAAAATTGCGAGAGGAATGGCTCCTTGCAGAGCTGGCGTGTTTATGGGATCCTGTGCAGCTTCTGCATCGACCTTGACTCTCCCTAACATGCTTGGTGTAATGGAGTCCACCTGGGCTTGCGTAACACCAAGCCCGACGACATCATCATCGCCGAAATCCTTGTCCCGGGCCGAACCCTCAATTTCCATCGGATCATCTGTACTCTCTTCGATATCGATTCCCAGAATCTTCCTCCGCATGGCAATTTTCGCAAGATATATCATCTCCAATTTAGCCCACTCGATCCACAGATCCTTACTTCTCGTACAGAAGCGTGCTCCCCTTGACATGTAACTCCTCGCCTCCTTCATATCCGCTTCGGCCTCTAAACTCCATCGTGCGGCGTATAGCCAAAGCTCGCATTTTAAAGGATGTAAACGAATCGCCGCTGTGAGGATCGTTTTGAATTTCTTGGTAGCCTTTGCTTGCTTGGCATGCTCCAGATAGGACATCCATAACGCCACATCGCTGGGGTGCTTCTGTGTTCCTCTATCGAAGATCTTGAATATCCGCGCCTGGCCCGTATGTGTGGTGCTTCCTTTGATCTTCATGCGCTTGCAGCGTTTTGCGCGCAGATTTTCCAGCCCGATCTCCCACGCAGCATATCGGGCGAAGTCCACTGGTGTTGAACCTCGCGCGAGGACCTTGTGCTCGAAATCGGATCTCTTCTTGACTAACGCTCTGATCTCCTCCTGTATGATATACGTGAGCAATGATATATATAAGGGGACGAGGGGGAAAACGCAGCGCCGACGAACCTCTGTGAATATCTTCTTCTCCTTGAATTCCTGTAACTGGGGAACAGCCTGTTCCAGGTAGAAGCGCGCTTTGTCAGATGCGCCGGACATTGCGGTTGGTGGGCGAAGAGTGTAGCGTTGGATTGACGAAGCCCTTGGGTTTGACAATAATTTCTAGCAAGATTATATTCTGCCTGGGATTGACCGCCCCCGTCGCCGGTTCGGTATTAGCGGCTAGATCCTCGGCGCCAAGATCATGGGCCACTGGGGTTATCCTTGGCAGAACTTAATTGTGGGGAAGAATGGCAATCCACACGTCTCGGAGATGTTGTGCTGAAAGTTAGTGAAAGCCCTACCCTGTCCTCATCCCCTTGCGCTAATTCCCGTCTTTCCTTTTCACGTCCATGGGAGTGCTCGAATGAAATTCTTTTCTTTGTAAATTCGCCTTCTCGACAAAATGGCTCCGAAGTTCAAGGATGGTGACGTCTTGCTCGCCTTCTCTGGTAGATGGGTGTCCTGGGTGCATACCGCAGCGGCATACGGTTAGTAGCTCGCAATTAGCCCTCAGTCTGGATCTAAGTGGCATCTTTCTGACATGAAATATAGCTGCTTTCATCAGCGCGCTCATTGTCGGCTGCTCACTGCATTACCACAAGATTGTAGAGAATGAATACTACGGCTACCCTCAGGAATGGTTCCCCTCCGTCTCGGCCACGATAGGTGACCGGTACCCGGAACGCTCGTTCTTTATGCTGTTCATAGCGATTACATCAGGTGCGGAAAGGATACAAAGTCTGCAGGAAGATCCGGAGTTGACTTAGCTGTAGGGCCTCGATTTGTGCTGGTTGGTTTATGGTACCTCCTCACGGCTCGACCAAACGCGACACTGCCAAAATTCGTAGCAGGAATGGGACTTTTCCGGACTTTGACCTGCGGAGGATGGACATACGTTACATCTACAGACGACCATGACTGGCATGACATTTTCATGATCTCATACTTGGTCGCGACACTGCCGTGGACGTTGGGCTGCTTGGCACTAAGTCCACCAAATGCCAAAGCCGTCAAATATAGGAAATATCTCGCATCCGCTTTCTTCGGCACTCTCGTACCCCTGATCTATTTTTTCATCCAGCACAAAGTCCACAAGGTTGCAGGAGGTGAGTACGAGTGAACAGCTTCATGGCATTGTACTAATTGATCCGCTAGCCTACACCACATATGCATTCTTCGAGTGGGCCCTGGTCTTGTTTGATGTTGGATTTGATTCTATTACAGCCCTCGACTTTGACACCTTTGAATTGGTTATCAAGGACGTGAAGGGAGCGAGCAAGGGGTACGTTTATTGGCTTCCGAAGTAATCAGTGTATAATATGACTGGACGAGTCTTAGAAATCATTCTGAACGTTATTCTGGTGTAGAAACAACAAAATGGTAGCCGATAGAGTTCTCGAAAAAGAGTTTGTGAAGTCGCTATTCCTTGATTAAGATCACACTGACTTTGGACAGAAAAGAGAAAAAGATGGGCCAGGTTTTCACCCAGGCGTTTTCTTGGTCAGAAGCTTTGGATTCGGCTGCAGATGTTTACAATGGGGTATGTGCAGTCTTTCTCTTCGTTCTATATCCGCTGACATTCTAGTTTGTGTTTTGGTCAATGTTGACTTCCCTGGGCTTGGTGGTTTGGTGTAAGTATCCCTCTTAGATCGAACATGACATGTCTAACCTATCCAGATTTCCCCTTATGGCACATGGGGATATCAGGCTATGAGGTGATGGTCATGTCAACCGTATCACCCTTCATGCTTGCTATTCCTAGATTGCGCTCCTTGGTATTGAAGAACCTCAGAGCCTGCCACTTCTCCGCGCTTGCAGGTTTATTGGCATACCAGGTCACAGATCCAGTATCTAGACTGTTTATCGTAGGGTTTTCTGTCTCCATGTCCAGCCTGTCATGGGCGGCTACTTGGTACTCGGAGTGTGGACAACCGGGCCGCTTGGAGTCGAAGATATCAGCATGGACGATTGGGCTGATCGCATCCACGGTGGTCAAGTTCGCTTGGCAGACGAGCAACCCAATCTGGCCAATAACGCACGCTGAAAACGGAGGGTGGAACGGTGTTGGCTTGATTCTTGCCATCCTGGCAGTGATTCGATCAACGCGCCAAACTCCTGCCGCTGGGACTGATCTGGCGATACAGGGACAAAAAGAAGGGTCCTCAGTCTTGGCAGCATTTGGTATTGCTGGATTGGTCTTTGGCTTGCATTCTTTGCTATCAGACTCAAGTACCATGATCTTGTGGGTATGGGAAGGTTACCCTGTCCGTGGTCCGATTTCTGCTCCTCACGGCGCATGGACGATTGCTGCTATGGGAGCTGGCCTCATCTTGGGTTTGTTCAGCGAGGAAGCAGCTCGAAGCTGGAGCTTCTACGGAATGGGATGTGTTGGTGCTGCGCTGGTGACAAAGTACAGTAATTGGACAGGATATTACGGCGCCCTGATCCTGGCAGTATACTTGATGGCAGCAACAGTCCCATTGATTGGTTCGGCGGCGAGGAAGAGCCCAGCGATTACGTTCGGTCTCGGTTTCCTGTTGTACAACTTCCTGGTCTTGTTCCACGTATGGGTCGTGGCCTACGCTTTCGTCCCTGGAGGACCGCTTGTTCGCGAGCATACTGACTGGGTGATGACTACTATGATGCTCTTCATCGGATGCGGTGTTTTCTCGTCGGTGTCGTCGTCTCCTGCGGCTCAGCGTAAGCGCTTCAATGCGTATCTCAACTCTCGCAAGCAGCGCTCCTACTACCTCTACGTCCTTGGTCTGCTTCAGCTTCTTTCCGTCTCGGTAGCATACCTTCGATTCCCGACATATGATTATGTCCCATATCACAAGGACGACAAGGTCCTTACCGCAGGAATATGGACCGTTCACTTCTCCCTCGACAACGACATGTGGTCGTCGGAGTACCGAATGAGAGATCTGATCAAGGAACTAGAAATCGACGTCATCGGTCTGCTCGAGTCAGATCTCCAACGCATCATCATGGGCAATCGGGATACGACTCAGTTCCTCGCTGAAGACCTTGGCATGTACGTCGATTATGGTCCAGGCCCCAACAAACATACCTGGGGGTGTGCTCTGCTGTCGAAATTCCCTATCATGAATTCGACGCATCATCTGCTCCCTTCGCCTGTTGGTGAGCTAGCCCCAGCAATCCACGCCACATTGGATGTCTACGGTGAAATGATCGATGTATTCGTCTTCCACTCCGGTCAAGAAGAAGACCCCGAAGACCGCCGTCTCCAGACCGAGTACCTCTCCAAACTCATGGGCTCCACACCCCGCCCAGCTATTCTCCTCTCGTACCTAGTAACGAAGCCATTGGAAGGTAACTACAATACCTGGGTCTCTGACACCAGCGGTATGCACGACATCGATCCCACCGACTGGGATAGGTGGTGCGAGTACATCCTATACAAGGGGCTCAAGCGAACAGGATATGCGCGTGTAAGCAGAAGCACGATCACAGACACTGAGCTCCAGGTCGGCAAGTTCAAGATTGGGGAGGTGGCCAGTGCGGATCCGAGTGTGCGCGATGCGCGCATCAGCGAGCAGCAAGTCCCTGAAGGCATGCGGTTCCCGCAGCTGTTTAGGGGCGAGGGCGTGAGAGGGCACGCTTACCACGTCTTTGACGAGCCTAGATACTTTACCGGATAAGCAGATTATGAGGGAAGCGTGACAGGATTAAGACGGGAAGATATAGAATCTTACCGCTTGGTGTCGTTGTTGCATGCAAGGATTGGCGCGGTGTCTAATCATATTATCTTGCGACACGGGGAAGGGAAAATGGGGAATCGCTGCTCTACTGGTAACGATGCCATGATGCTGGCGTGGCTGACTCTGTCTTTGTATGCAACTAGAGCGCCCATTGTGGTCATCCGGCTCGTTTTTTTTTGGTTGTTGTTGCAGGCGTTGTATACCTGTAAAAATATGCATTTTCAACATGAGTCTCCTACTCCTCCTCGTCTTTTCTAACCTTTTCCCTTCATAAGGTCATAACCACCTTTCTTGACCCAGCCAGCCAGCCAGCCAGTCTTTTCGAGTTGGATGAAGGCTGTGCTGCGGATCGTAGGCTCGATGCAAAAGGGATGTAAGACTGCAGGTAGGGCATCCCGGGGAGAGGGATGCGGTACCATGATAGGAACTATCCGATCCGATGTGCTGTCAAGCATGTCAAGCCTGTTGTGATTCGAAATTCAATTCGAGTCTGCGTCTGCGTGAGTGAGACGGACGAAAGATGAATAAAGAATCTGTTTATTTACCCTTTGTCGGCTCTCTGATTGCTTGTGTGCTGGCTGCTGAAGCGGAGAGGGAGTTTGGTGATACAGGAATCCTAGAGGGGAATAGATAGATAGATGGGACGGATACTTGGAAGTGTGAGAGTGGAATCGAGTGACTGGATTCGCTTCGTGTCGCTGGCGAGGTCATGTGTACATATATGGGATTATTTCAGGCCTTATCTACCTATATATCATATGTGTGTATATATAGACAGACGCCTCTGTGTTTGTGGTTTGTGTCAATCGCGGCATCTGGGCTGGGGGATAAGGGGTAAGAGGTAGTGATTTTCTTCCCTTCCCCACACCTCCCCCACCTCCCGTCCCCCTCTTCCGAGCTCTCGCCGCCATCTTCTGCAGAACGGATTCTGCATCGCAGACTACTGATACCGCTGCGCCGGAAGATGGCGGTCGGTTGGGGCCCTCCCCGCGTACCGTCTGTCTGGACAGCCCCATCTAGTGTTGGTGGATCGACAGTGGCGTTTTCGATATGCCGAGAGGAATGCTGATCGCCTTCTGGGGATTGTGGTGAGGTAGGTGGCGGGCAAAAGGGGTCCGGCAGTGGTAATACCTAGATATATATATATATAAGGGTCTTAGTCTTTAAATTAGGGGAAACGCTGGGAAACAAAGACTTGTACAGTTTCTTCAACGGGCGAGGGATAGACATCATGTTTGGTTGCGCGGCTCTGATCACTCTCCTCCTCGAGGCGTCGGCCGCTGTGGCCTTCCCGGATATGGCGAACAGGTTAGCCAAGAGCCATTTGCAAGAACGTATGTTGAGCGCCGGGTGGTGATTGTTGTTGCTGTCGATGGATGCTGATTCTTCCTTAGGCATTGCTCCTGTGGTTCCCTTCCCAGGTAAGCGAATTTCATCGCCCTCGTCTGAGTGTCTTGGGATGGGGATCGGAATCATATCTCAAGAAACAGACATCCCTGATGATATCCGTGACTAACGATCCTACTTGTTCCCCGTGAGATGTCACAAGAGACGGGCGCTGACCATCCACACAGAATTCCCAGGAGCTCCCACCCACGCGCTGTACAACAAGTTCGACGCAAAGGCCCAACTGGTCTCCACCAGCGGCGAGCACGCATTCATCGCCCCAGGCCCAGGTGACATCCGCGGTCCCTGCTCCGGCTTGAACGCGGCTGCAAACCATGGCTACATCCCCCGCGACGGTATCGCTACAGCCAGGACTATCAACACGGGTCTCTGGGAAGCCTTCGGCCTCGACCAGACAGCCACCCTCTTCCTACAGACAGCAACCATGTTCTTCGACGGCGACCCCCTATCCGGACGATGGTCGATCGGCTACCACTCCGAGAAGACGCAAAGCTTGGGCGCCCTCGGCGACTTCCTGGGAAACGAGACGGGCATCTGCGCCTACGGTCACTTGAAGACCGAAGGCGATGCGTCCATCACCCGCGGCGACTGGCTCGCGCCAACCCAGAACTCGAACTGCGCCTCGTACCCCGAGTTCGCGCAGGAGCTCCTCGATCTCGCCACGGAGATGACGGGAGGCAACATCACTCCTCAGGTGCTGGCCCGGCACCAGTACAACCGCAAGCAGCACTCCATCGCCACGAACCCGTACTACTTCTCCCCGGCCTACGCGGGCGCCATATTCACTTTCGGCGCCCACATGTTCGCGTACGAGCTGCTGGCCAACCACTCTGCCGAGGAGCCGCGCGGCTTCCTGACACCCGAGGTCTTCGAGACCTTCTTCTCGTACACGCGCGACGCCAACAAGCAGCTCGTGTACACCTACGGCCACGAGCGCATCCCCGAGAACTGGTACCGCCGCGCCCACGACGACGCGTGGACCCTCACCGACATCCTGATCTCGACGGGCCAGCAGTGCCTCGCGTACCCCTCCAACTGCGCCGTCGGCGGCAACACCGGCACCGTCAACTCCTTCGCCGGCGTCGATCTCGGCGACATCTCCGGCGGGCTCGTCAACTCCGTCACCGACCTCTCGAACCCGGAGAGGCTCGGCTGCTTCATCAGCCAGGTCATCCAGGCCGACGTGCCCAGCTTCCTGGACAACGTGTTTAACGGCGCGGCGCTGACCCGGGTGTTGGCCCTGATCCCGACCGTGCTCTTGCCTGCCCTGGCGCCGCTGGGTAACTGCCCGGGCTTGCCGAAGGGGAAGAACATGTTCCAGTATGGAACGATGTTCCCCGGTGCGCAGATGAAGCGGCAGGGAACGCGAAATCCGTACTAGAGAGGGAGTCGGTGATGGTGTGGTGGAGCGGGTGTCATGAGCGCGAGATGGACGGATGGAAGATGAAGGCTGGATGGACGTCCGTCCCTGCCACATGCGTGGAAGCTGCTTGCTCCCACCGTGCTCAGACTTGTACATACCTAGCGCACCGAACTCTGCCAACAGGAGTCTACTTACCACGGCACAGGCGTAAGTAAGTATTACCCTCAAAAGTCTACTTTCCACTTTAAACCCCCCTGGTTACCCTACCCTCGAAGGGTAATACTTCCGCCTGGGACGTAGTAGTATCTATCTATTAATCAATGTAAATAAGAAAAAAAAAAAATAAGAAAAAAAAAATATCCTCCCCTTTCCAAGGGAAAACTAGGTAACCAGCTAGTAGTAGTACCTGGCTCTCCTCCACTCGGACGATACAGTACAGTACCGGTACTCGGGTCTTCTCTCCATACCCACCCACCCACCTCCTGGGAAACGGGGCAAGTCAAGCAATACCTATATATAAATAAATAAACATATATTATATTAAATGAATGAGTGAGTGAGTGAATAAATAGATATATCCATCTAGCTATAAATAAATATACATACTTCGACAAGGATCCCTCGCCCTGCTTTTTCTCTGGCAGACCTACCTAGGTAGGTACTTACTACGTGGTACTTGCTTACTTACTTACTTACTTACCTATGCTCTCTCCGACTGCAAGAATTGGACTCGGGGGTTTATCTTATCTGTGACAGCAGCAAGCAGCAGCAGCATGCGCAATCTGTATGTATGTATGTAACGAACGTAGGTAGGTAGGTACGGGCCGACCGACCTAGCTAAGGTAGGTGGTACCTACTCACGGCTCGGCGCGCCACAGGCAAGACAGATAGATAGATAGATAGACAGACAGACAGACAGACAGACAGGCAGGCTATTTTTTTTTAAAAAAAAAGAGAGCTGCGGTTCTACTTACTAGTACCTACCTACTTCTGCGGAGTGGAGTGGAGTGGAGTGGGTTAGAGTAGAGTAGGTACCTACCTACCTACCTACCTACCGTGCGTACGTACCTAGGTACCTAGGTACTTGTAGGTTTCAGCGAGGTGTTGCAGTTCGGACTCTCGGTCGGGTGTTTCCTCCGTGTCTTGCCTTGTCTTACCTTACCTTGCCTTACCTTGCCTACTTGGGTACTTGGGTACTTACCTGTTTATTAGTACTATTATT